ACTTGTAAACTCCAGAATTTCTATTTCATCCTTTTAATTATTTCTCTCTTTACTGATACTCTTTATTATTCTACTTGCCTTGAATTCTCCATTTCTTTGAATGTATTTACAACAGCTGATTCAAGGTCTTTGTCCACGTATGCCCAACATCTGGGTTTCCTTAGGGACACTTTCCACCTACTGCTTTCCCCCAATACAGCCCACCCTTTACTGCTGCTTTGCACGTCTTACGGCTTTTTGTTGAAAACTGGACATTTAAAATAACAGTATGGCAACTCTGTAAGATTCCCTCCCTCTTGACTTTGTTGTTTCTGGTTTAGCAACTTTCTTGGGCTAATTCTCTACAAGCTGCCTTCTTGGTCATGTGCTCCCTCTGAAGTCTCTGTTCAGCTGGCTGTTTTGGTCAGCTAAGGATTGGACAGATTTCCTCGAATGCGGACGACCAGCAGTGAGTCATCAGGACCTGGCCTGCTCCAGCCACACACAGCTCTGCAGGTGCACCCACCCTCCTAGAGCTCCAGGAACACCAGCATTCTTCAAAGCCCTCAATGGGCATCTCATTTCTGACTTCCCTTAAAATTGGTGTGGTCAGCCTCTTGTTTGCCCTAACTGGTATCACTGCCCCAAGCAGCCGCCATGTTGCATAACTGCCACTGATGGTTTTTGATACGGTTTTCCCAGGAGCCAGACCGGTCACACAGTGACAGTTCCCAGATGATGGGGCCTCTGGGGGAGCCCTAAAACCAGTCTGCATGCTCTCCTGCTCGGCTGCAGTCACTGCTATCAGAGTCCCAAGGCTACTGCATGACTTTTTCGCATTATAATTTTTTCTTTTTCCTAATCTCTACACCCAGTGTGGGGCTTGAACTCACAACCCCCAGATCAGGAGTCGCACATTCTACCAACTGAGCCAGCCAGGTGTCCCCCATGATGTTTTCTAAAGCTAGTAATAGCGTATGAGACATAGAGAGATTTGTACGTTTTTATAACTGGGCCCTTATTACTTAAAACACTTAAGTTTTCAGATTACTTTCTTAGTTTTTTTTTTTTTTTAAGATTTTGAGAAAGCGAGAGAGAGCGAGCGAGCACACAAGTAGGCAGAGCGGCTGGCGGAGGGAGAGGGAGAAGCAGGCTCCCCACTGAGCAGGGAGCCTGACGCGAGACTCAATCCCAGGACCCTGGGATCATGACCCGAGCCGAAGGCAGACGCCTAACCGACTGAGCCACCCAGGCGCCCCACTTTCTTAGATTTTACAGGTAGACAATCTCATATTTTGAAAATGACTTCTCCCATACAAAATTGATCTTTTTTTTCATATCGTATTGCCCAGGATTTCCAGAATAACATCAAATAAAGGCAGACTTCCTCAATGAATCATGGAACACTACATCAAAAACTAATGATGTAATGTATGGCGATTAACATAACAATATAAAATTAAAAAAAAAAGGCAGACTTCCTGGCTCTTTTCCACGTTTGTGCTCGATTTTTTTTTCTCAGATAATAACACTGTTGGCTTTTTGTTGCAATGGTATTTTTTTTTAAGTCCATCAGTACCTTTCTCTTTATACTTAATACTAAGAACTCTCAATAGGTGTCCCTTTATTTTTTTTAAAAGATTTTATTTATTTATTTGAGAGAGAGGGAATGAGAGATAGAGAACACAAGAGGGAAGAGGGTCAGAGGGAGAAGCAGACTCCCTGCTGAGCAGGGAGCCCGATGCGGGACTCGATCCCGGGACCCCAGGATCATGACCTGAGCCGAAGGCAGTCGCTTAACCAACTGAGCCACCCAGGCGCCCTACACTTAGTATATTCTTTCCTTTTTTTAAAGATTTTATTTATTTATTTGAGAGAGAGGGAATGAGAGATAGAGAACACAAGAGGGAAGAGGGTCAGAGGGAGAAGCAGACTCCCTGCTGAGCAGGGAGCCCGATGCGGGACTCGATCCCGGGACTCCAGGATCATGACCTGAGCCGAAGGCAGTCACTTAACCAACTGAGCCACCCAGGCGCCCTGTCTCTTTCTTTAAATGGAAACTTGCTGAGACAAATTAAGGTCTGCCAAACTTTAGACATAATTCATCCAGCAGTTATTTGTTTACTGCCTGCCAAGAGTAGTGATAAGCCACTGGAAAAAGATTTAAGTAACACCCACATAACCTCTGCCCTTGGGAACTTACAGTGCATCTCGGATGTGATTTTTAAATAAAGCAAAACCGCCATCATGTTAAGTATAGGAATGAAATCAGCACGCGGTGCTAAGAGAGCTTGTATAAGGGAGAGTGCTGGTCAGGGACAGTCGAGGAAATGCACTCTGCTGAGAAGCGAAGGGCAGTGGGAGTTAGCCAGGCCAGTGTCAGGGGAAGAGCAGGTTGGGCACGGAGGCAGGAAGGAGGGGCGGGGGGAGTTTCTGGAACTGAGAGGAAGTGTCACGGATGAGTGGCACTGGAGGAAATTCGGTTGGAAGGGTCTCCCAGTTTGATACGCTCTTGGTTTTTCTTCTAAGAGCATGGAGAGCAGTAAAGAGTTAGAGGTGTGTTTTCAAAGATCCCTTTGGTTGTTGCATGGAGAATGCAGGGGGCGGAGGCCCAAGCGCTGGTGCTGGGAGCTGACAGACGGGAAGGGCAGTGGCTTGGACTCGGGAGGACAGCCGAGGGGATGTATTCCAGGGTAGAACTAAGGGACCTGGTATCTACCTGCACACGGGGAGAGAGGCACAGAGAGGCAGAGGTACCGTCTAGGTCTCCATCTCAAACTCCTCGGCTGATGGTGGACAGACACACCGTGAGGCCTTACAAGGAGGCACTGGGTTAACGGGTCTTCAGCCCAGCAGCAGAGTCTGTACTGCAGATACAAACTGGGAAACCATGGTGTCATGTTATCAAGCAGAATGCAGAGTAAATATTAAAACAGGGCCTGGAACTAAAACTCGTGTTCGTCCACATTCACAGTCTGGTTGAAGATGGTAAAGGAGCCAGAAGGGCCAGGTTTGCAGTGGCCGTGGGCACCGGCAGGGCCTGGCTTAATGCTTTCCCACCTGGTCCAGCCAGCCTCTCTCTGCGTCATCACTTCTCAGAACTCTACGTACAAAAGACCCTCAAAGACTATTTTTTTTCTACTTGTGATTGTCTTTCATAAGAGCTGTTTTCACGACTCCAAGTCTAAAGCAGGCAGGGGAGAGTCAAATTAAGATGGGAACTGGCTGGCTCAGTTGTTAGAGCATCTGACTCCTGATCTCAGGGTTGTGGGTTTGAGCCCCGCCTTGGGCATAAAGACTAAAAAGATGGGAATATAAGAGGACTAGTATCAATGATCTCATGTTCTTTTGGAAATGAAAGAATTCACACACAGCATGGATAAATAATGTACTACATCTACTTTTCAAATCATTTGATCCCACACTAAAAGCTTCATTTCAAAAGACAAGGGAAAAACAAATCACAAGTTAGCGAACATAAAAGTTTATTGAATAAATACATGCACTGTCATGTAAAATTAGTTGATCAAAAAGGACATTCTATCATAATAATTAAAAAAAACCCTCTGTTTTCCATTTGCAGTGGGTGACGACCAGAGTTTATACACGCTGGTCTACACTGAGCTTAGGTTCTTGGAGAAGGGCTGACCTCCTGATGAAGCGTATCTGCGAATGAATTCTCCTAGTATAGAATGTAAGTTGAATACAGCTATGATCTGAAACTTGAAAACAACACCACCAAACTTCCATACTTTAAGGCACAGGATAGGCAACCCACATGTATAAACTAACAGAATTCAAATTCATTTAATTTTCCTCCCACTGGTTTGGCTTAATATAGAAAAGTTAACATTCCCTTTTCCTGGATGAAGTGATTATTGAACCAGTGATGAACATTTTGAGAACTCAAGTGTTCTCCATCACCAGGATCCTGGAGTCTGGCCTCGACAGTAATTCTCAAGCCTCCCCACAGGGTATGAGTTTCTCATTGAATGCTCATCTTGCCACAAAAGACAGGATCACATCGGGAAACGTTTTATGTCTTCAGAATAGTCCCTTTCCTTTCTCTTTCCTCTTAAGCAGAATGAAGCACACTGCCAGAGGCCTCAGAACCTGCAGATGTGTCTGTCTCCAGGTTCCCCAGTCCCTGTATCACAAGGCACGTGTCATGCTGCTAACTGGCTTTCTACCTTTCATTGTATTTATTTTGCCTCATTACTTAAATAAAGCATTCCATAAAGTAAATAGGTACCTATTGGTGAGCACATGATTGCAAAACCCACATGTTTAGGATGTTGGTAAAAATTATTGGTATGGAACCAGTGAGTGGTTCTCTTTTTATAGATTATGCCAGAAGCCCTTCAACAGACTGAATTAAAAAAACAAATCTTTAATAAATCTAATACCATGGGCAGGCAACTAGATTTAGTAAGTAATTACCTGCCCTTATCATGCCACTAAAATACCACAGTTAAATTTTTTGTGTGCATATGTTTATGTGTGCATCAATACATTAATAAACTTCCTCCTGTACATTGAACACGATTTATAGTGAAGTTTCATTAACTAGGAAACAGTGAGATTATACTGTCTTTATGGTTATATGAAATGTGTTGTGAACTATAGACGCCATTATAAACAAACCCATGGTTCCAAGTGTAAATGAAAACAAACATGAAATCTGCTGGAAGGCAGACGTGCGCAGGAATAACAATCAGCGTCCACCACAGGCACTTTGGTATTTTGGTCACATGAGCAGTCCGTGAGTCCACGAGACGATTTATGGTAAGATCTCCAATTTTAGTTGCAAAGTTCTATTCCCCCAGTATCTGCATACATGATATAGAATGTTCTCATGGCTGAGGAAGTCATCTGCATCATACGCTTCTCGGACACATGCACGACACTGCTGCACAGCTTCATCCCCCAAGAGGCTTGGGACTCGAGGATACAAAACATGCTACAATAATCCAAAAAGAAAACAAGTATTCCAAAATAAAAACAGTATCACAATATCCCAATACTGAGGTCAGTCACGGCATCAAGTGAAGAGACTCAGGAAATGGTTATTTAAAGTCAACAGCCGCCGTGCTGGAACCCTCTGGCCCCAGCAGCGCATGGCCTCGCGCACAGGGTCCGACGGATGATGTCGCACTGACGATGAACGAATGACGAGCTGTTGGTTTTTAAAACAACTTCCTACCTACTTACCAGATCTATCCCATAAACTTTATGGTGAGCATGTGAGCCTGTCTTCACAGGCTGGGAAAACACTGAAAATTAACAAAGCTCATGACGGATGGTTTCACAATAGCCTAAGTGCTAACATTGGAAATTTGTATTATATTTTAGGAAGTGTATCTGTGTACTACTTCATGAATAAGTTATATCAAGCAATTAAAAATAAACTTAAGACATTTCATTTTACATAAGAAATTTCAAATTAGTGCACCATGATTTATGAATCATGACAATGCTCTTAGTTATTTTGTATTACTCAGTTACACACTTTTCCTTATAAGCACTTCAACTAACTCTCAATAATACATCTTTATATTTATGAAACTGGTAATATTTTGAATACTTCCGTCATTCATGATGGGCAGAAGAATACTAATATTTAAACGTTCAGCCTTTTTTAAAAAAAGAAACACCATAAAATTGGTCACTGAGAACTTTACCCTGCAAAGACAAAATGATTATCTGTCGTAAGAATTTCATACATTTTAGAAGAAAAAAATATATTTCCTTAATCCATTTTCTTCAGAATTCAAACCAGCATGTAGAGATTATAAAAAATAGTCTATTTACATGGCATAGTGTACCTCAGTGTGTACAAAACAAGGCGACATTAAAGCAATATACATACGTCTGCTCCCTAGTAGATATAATTGACATACACCTTTATGTGACATGGTGATTAACTGCTACCTTATTACACACTATAATAACTGGTGAAATACTACAGAAAATTAAACATACAAAATCTAATGATAATATTGGCCAAATATGCCTAAAATGTCAACATGGTTTATAAAACTATGAAGATTTATATAACTAAATACACTGAAATTATAAAAACAGTATTGGTACATGTGCGGGAGGGTGTGCTCTGAGCACACAAGGGTGGGTGGGGACACTGGGGCGGGCTCCTCGCGTCCTGCATGGACTACGTCACCACATGTGGTCTTGTGCCATCTTCCGTGAGGTCGTACCTAGGGGTGCATAGGGAGAGGGGGACAGACGTGAGGTCAACTGGGGAGAGTGTTGTGAAGTAAACACACGGGGCTCGTCTGTGGTGGGACACTCACCACTGGGTCCAACCCTTGGCTAGTTCTTCAGACGCCAGACCAACCAATACCTGTTGGTGGAACAACATTTGTTACAGTGGGTGGAGCACCCCCTGCTCACCCCCTACAATCCTCCCAGCCTCTCCAACCTCTTCCTATCTCAGGATGGAACCCACTCTCTGTTATCTTGACGCTCTGTCAGTGTTTTGGGCCCTGATGACCCCCCCATGAATGATACAGTGGATCACATCCAAGAGCTCCACCCTGTACCCAGCAGTCTCAAAATTGAGTTATTAAGAAGAATCGGTGCAGATAATTTACAGGGATATTGGCTCAAGTGCCATTCATGGCAGCACAGATGGGACGGATCACTGGTAACTAGGATCTATAATTGAAAACTCCTCTTCCCCAACTTGACCTCTTGTACATTTAATATTAAAGAATATATAATCTTATGCAAGAGTTACATGTGAATTTAGACAAAGACTAGAATAAATTCAGAGAAATAAAGCCACTAATTTGTTAGATGAATAATATGCGAACAATATGAATCTGTAAAAACAATGAAAACTTAAAAATACTCTTCAAATGTACTCAGGTTTTAGACAACATGGTCTTTCATAGCCCACTATTTTATAAATAAGCATAATTACAGAGGAAGTTCACCCCTTTCCACTTATTTAAGTATGGTCTAAAAAAAAAATGCACTTTGGGTAAGTGTTTAATGTTTATAAAATATAGGAACTGACCAAGGATATTTTTCAAACTTACTTTGCCAAGAAGCCCTTTATCTTTGGACAGGAAGCCGCCACTGTTCTTCACTGCTACATCCAACGTTCTCCTCTGTACCTCTGGTAATGAAACACTGAAATCAAAGCTGACATGGAAAAAAGAGGACCTTCCTTAAATTTCCCCATAATTTTATTGTATTTTATTATAACTAAAAAATTACATTTCTGCTTATGAGACAGTTCCAAATGTTACGTTGATTTTTTATTACACAACTGAGTTCTGTTCAGTGTTTGGATCTGGCATTTAATGAAGACTCAAAAACATTTTTTTCCCATTATTTTCCAAACATACGTGGTGACTCTTGCATCCTGAATATGGGCAAGGCCCTACTGCCTGTGGCTCCCTCATGTGTGGGGAGGGCTGTTGTATTTAGAGTAGTTGTTAAGGATGGGGGACTGGGGACGTTTGTAGGACACAGCAGAGGGTCCAGACCAGTTCACTCATCCAGGCCTAAAGACTACAGAACACTAAATAAAACGCCTGGGTGAACGAAATAAGTGACACAGCCTCATGGACGCGAACAGATCTGCAGTGCACTTTTTAATGGCTGAAGTCAGATGCTACAAACCAAAATGCCTCCAGGACACCAAGTCCTCAAAGCTGGCTGGTGTCTGGCCATCGTGAGGCAGGGTCTCTGGTAAACCAGCGGACAGAGAGCCTGAGGCCCTGCAGGGACGTGGCTGGAATGCAGCCGGCCTTTCCATGGAGCTGGAGCAGCTAGAAACCCAGACTTGCAGGTGGGGTCTCTAATCCTTAAATGCTGGGAGCTAAGTGAGAACACTGTCAAAACACACCCACACCAGGATTTGGTGCACACCTGTCAGTTTATGACCTTGGTTTAGATAGAGTTGTTGGCATGAAGTTATGATAAAACGACCAGTCCCTTTAAAGATAAATGTAAACACAAGCGACAGATACTTTGACACCATCTGACTTTATTATTTCCCAAAATGCTGGTGGATTTTTAGCTACAGAGACTGTAATGTAAGGTACCCAGTTTGCACAGACTAAGACTTATTTAAATGTGGCCTGAGGCCCCTGGAGGCCCCCGAGACCCTCTCTGGAGATGAGCACATCAGACTGACAGCAGAAGCAGTAGGACCTTTATTAAGACAAACCATTAAAGAGATCTGCAAAAATGTTAAACAATAATGCCATTTATTTATATATATTTTTTTTTATTGTTTTGGAAACTAGTTGTTTTTCAGAAGAATATTTTAAGATGTTATAGGTTTATTATTGCTATTTAAAATAAAATGTAAAATCGAGCATTGGGTGTTATATATAAGTGATGAACCACTGAAATCTACTCCTGAAACCAATATTACATTGTATGTTCACTAACTAGAATTTAAATAAAAATCTGAAGAAAAAATTTTAAATTCTCAGTTTTTATTTATAACTCAGAAAAATCAATAGAAACAACCCCACAAAATAAAGTTCTTTAAGGTCCTCAATCATGAGTCCCTCTTCCACAATGTTCACAATTTGGACTTACTATGTTTAGTGCTTCTAGATGAAGTTCAAAGTATTTATTTATTTATGCTGACAAGTCTGTGGGGGCTAATCTGGAGTTTTTCACTGATACTTCCCAACAGTGTTGGTTTGAATGCGTTAGTCATTCAAGAGTATTGATCGAGCCTTCCTTATTTGAGGATTCAATAGTCTGTCTCCACACACCCTCCCCCCCCCCCGCCCCGCCCCACCGGAGTAAACACCATACCTCTGGTCAAACACAGGGTTCAGTGTTTTCTTTGACACGTGTGTTTTTCTCCTTCCTGATCTCCTCTTGTCTGGTAACAAATACATGCGGACATAGGGGTCAGAGCCATCTTCAGAGAAGGCAATGAGATTTCTTATGACACAAACCAGAGAACACTAGATATTAGAATCTAGGAAAATGACAATTAGCGTCACGTTCAAATTCACTGTTCTGATTTCCCATTTATCTAAACCACTGAGAAGCACAAAGGAGCAAAGTGTGCTTCTGTCTTTGCCCTGTGCTCACTTGCTGGCGGAGGCGACTTCTGCCTCCATTTCTTGAGCCCAGTATTTGGGGGACATTCTGATACCTTGCTCTGCTTTGAAAATGGAAACTGCTGGTTTACCTTTCCACAGTACTTATACTGTCTGTCTTCTCCCAGTGAGGGAGTATGGTCGGCCTTATAGCCAAGGGAAGCAGCCTTCCGGGAGACCCCAGCGAGGCCATGCACCCTCTTCCGTGCCGGCTCAGGCTGCTCACTCCACTCTCTGTCCTTTGCTCTCCTGAACCTTTCACCTCCTTTGTGCAGCCCATGCTGCACTTCTCCTAGGACAACTGGTCTGAGCCAAACACAGCCAAGCATTTAATTATATGAAACCACTTCAAATTATGCACTTGTTGATCAACCTGAAAACCTACTTAGGGGATTATCTGGTGAGAGTCCTCTATGACAGTGATTACCTCACAGCAAGAATACATGAGGTGCTCAATAAACAGGTACAAAACTGAACCCATTTATATAATATTTCTAAATGTCACTAATTCTAACTTCCTATGTTTCTAACAGTCTTTTATAAGATCCAAATATTCATGTCATACATTTATATCATAACTTCTACTGAGATGGACAAGTTACCTAAAAGGGAAATAATTAGTTGGCTGCATACTATCATCACTAATCTAATCCAAATTCAAGCAACATTGTCATCTCATGTTACACTTACTAAATTAGTACACTGCACAATAAACTATTCTCGATTGGGAGGGTAGGGTGGGAAAGGCACATCTGTACCTTTGGGTGCCAATGTCAACTGGTATGCTCCAGAAATAGTCTTGAAAGACTATTGGCAATACCTATCATGATCTCATAAACTTTTTTGGATCCTTTGAATTGATATAAACTTACTCCTGGAAATTTAATTCCAAAGAGACACTTCAAGAAAAAAGAAAGATATGTTCGTTACTATGTTACATGTGGACAATCTAAACATCCAGGATGGCAGCTGAAGAGTGTATTACAAAGCAACCAAAATGGTTATGAATAGAAGATACTTATGAAACAATGTCGAGAACAAAGCAAGAATACAACACTGAATACTAGGATTACAGTACAATTTTATGACTTTGTTCTTTAAAGATGAAATAAATTCGTCTGTTTGGTGAGGCTAGAACTCAGTATTTTGCTCCCCATGTAATGGCTACCCTGCTCACCTGCAGGAGTGCACAACCACCACGAGCTTGTTTCTCTGTGAGCTGTGCCGGATGGTCAGCTGGATCTGCCCCAGGGGCGACTGCCCCAGGGTTGTCCCACTGGGGAAGCAAAGCAGAAAGTTACAGCTCTTCTCAGAACTGAAGGGCTGTGTGTCACTGGCACAAGAAGGAACCAAATTACCCATGGACTTGAACAAAATTTGAACTTCGGACTCTTAATCAACCAGCTGAACTCACATTTCAAATAAGGCTTCAACATAACTTAGCCATTCAGAACTGATGAGGCTCGGAGGTCTCCTAATTATAAACATCAATTCCGTCACTACCCAAACCTACGTATGCTTTCTCAAAGCCCCACACGTTGCTTGCTCTGATTTTTACTGGCAGCCTCTCTGACAAAACACTACCCCTCGCTTTCTCTCTCTCGGGGTTGAAGCACAGACTCCCAAGACCACCAACAGTTGCCCCAGCGCAACGTCCCCCAAGATCAACCCAGCTACTCCCCAAATTTGGCTCCTGATAAAAAGTACTTTCTTATTTAAAACTGCAGGAAGGGACTGGCTTCTTTTTTCCAAAATAGTGGACGTGAGAAGGTACGGAGGAGAAAAGCGTGCTGAGTGTGGATCACAGACCTGCATGCTTCCTCTACCCCCAGGAGCACTCATTTCATCTCTGCCTCCACTTCCGATTCCTCAAGACACCTCTGAGAATAACAGACAGGAAGAACGGCTTCAAAGGGCAAGTTTACTCCTTCCGCTGGGAGGAAAAGGCTAACATCTGAAGCTTGTGATAACTGTAAGCTGTTTTCCTCCTTCTCTCAAGAACCCTGGGGCACATCTATGAATCTGAACACCAAAAAACCATGGCCAGTGGTCGTAACGCTGAGCACACAGGACCTGTTCTTAGGGCACACACACAATCGCTGTGCTAAGAGCACACATCAGATCTAGACCCTGCCTTCCTGGTCTGAGGACAGCCACACCACGGCTTCACATCTTTCCTATTCATGGAACCTGTTACCCCACTGCTTCCTGACCCTCAAATGAGCCAAATATTAGGTCCTAGAAAACACCAGGTTTATTTTCAAAGTCAAAGACTCAGTGAGCAAAAGGCCAAAGCCATGTGAAGTTCTTTTAACTAACTTAAAATGATGTTCCCTCCCTACAGCATGAAAGATGTGTGCTCTGATTTGACAAGAACAAAGGGGATGGGATGTCTACTTACTTCTCTAGCTGCCGCAGTCTCTGCCGAAGTTCCTGGGTGGCGATGGGCAGTGATATGTCTGAGGCTATGCTTGGGGTGGGTTCCTTGACGGAGATGTGGCTGGGCGAGCAGGTGGCACTGGCCTGAAGGCTGGAGGAGCTTCTGCCCAGGTCTCGTGGCCCCTGGGGGCTGGCCTCCACAGGCTGGGCTCTCTCTTCCACACCAGGCTTATCGCTGCTCCCGATTACTGGCGTGCACGGGGCTGTGCTGCTGTCACCAGAGCCTGGCGATGCAGACATCTGAGATCTCACCGATATTTTCCTCCCTTCTTTAGAAACAGAGGGTCGCTTTACTTGAGCTGAATGTTGGTGGTCTGGAGACCTTTCTTGCTTTTCGAGTTGGAGTACCTAGAGGTGGAAATAAACATGAAGTTAAAATCAGGGACACTAGAACAGCCTGCTACCTGAATGGCTTCAGATTTATTCATTTGCAAATGTTTCTTTAAAAGTCGGCACAAAACACTATAAACAGTCTAGTGTATGTTCAGCTACTCTATTATTAAAATAACGCCATATTACAGTCAGTTTAGAAAAAGCAAAGTCAAATGAATTAAAGTATCACTTCCATGATGTGAATGTCGCATCTGTGTGTTCTCTTCAGCCTCTTCCATTTGCACGCATTCCTGCACAGTTGTGGGGTGAAGTCATTGCTGGGTGAGCCTGAGCCGAGTGCCCCTGAGAAAGGATGAGAGGCGAGGACACCCTCTCCTGGGGGCCACCACACACAGCAGCCTTGATGCAGGAGCAGGCCTCACGCTCCTCAGCTTGTGTGAGCACGTGGACCCTTTGCTTTGCTGGCTTTCATCTGTAGTGTCCAGGTGTGCAATACTCCACTGAGCAGAGCCTGTACTGCACAAACCCTGCACCCTGGGGTTACTGTATCAGTGTCACCTTTTCCCGCTTTTATAAAATAAAGCTGCAGAAAACATCTTCATGTTCATGGTCTCTCTGCACTGTGTCTTCCTCCTGAAAGTCAGATTTGCAGAGAAAGGGTTCTTGGTTCAAGGGGCTCTATTGCTTACGGCCTGGAGACACTGCAGGCCTTTCTGGAGAAACTGTGCCGATCCCCAGAGTTGGGACCAAGTGCAAAGAGACCATGTACAATGCACCCTCCACTAAGTTTGCTTTAATTTTTTAAAAATTGGGTTCTTTTTAATTTGCATTTTAAAAATCAGTGAGTTTTAGCATTTTTCATCTGTTTGCCAACTTTATTAATTTTGAACATTTCCTTAGACAGTCACAAGAATCATTGTCTATTTTAGACAAAAAAATTTTTGTTTGTAATTTCTACCACCTTGTAGAATTTTATTAAATTTTCTCTCCTGAATGACCTTTGAAAATTTAACTTGGCCTGCTCAAGCAATCTGGAAATACCAACTTGGGCAGAGGTCTGAGTCCAGGCCTCAATTAGCTCTCCCTTAGGCACCTGGAAACCGTCAGCAGTGGTTTCCTTGCTCCCCAGACGAGTGCCCCGTGCCCTCTGCCACACTCTGGAGCAGTGCCACAAGCGTCGGCAGTGCTGCCCGTTACCCTGTCCACTCCTGCACGTGCTGCAGAAGACTACAGTACCCTGAGGGCGATCTTCATCTTCAGAGTGCTGTTGGGACCTGAATTACTGAGTTGGAATCGCTGGTTCATGGTCATGTCATCGCTGGTAAGCAGCTGACTAAGAGGGATCTTCAGATGCCCCAGAGAACACTGATGCTGTTCATCTTTGACCTGAGGGACACATGACAGAACACACTTAGCTCTGAAGGTAAAGACAGAAAGCATATAAATGTCCAAAATCCAGTCTTTAAAAAAAACACTTCTGCCATCTCTGGGTAGGGTTCTCATAAATGACTGACACAATGGACACCCTCAGAACTGTGATGAGTGAGGTTACAGTGTGTTCAAGCCCCATGTGTCTGTCACCTCCTCGCCACAAAGTTATAATGAGCACAAAAGGAGCACTGTGTTTTAGGAATCCATTAGAACCCTGAGTTGAGAGGCAGCAGTCTACACAGATGTGAAGATTAGGAAGACATGTCTTAAATTCTGTGAAAATGGTGACAATACACATTCATGGTGATGCGTCTATCAAGTTTCTACTGGTGATACTTGTTTATGGAGAAAAACATTTCTTTTTTTTTTTAATTTTTTTTTTTTAAGATTTTTATTTATTCATGAAAGACAGAGAGAGAGAGGCAGAGGGAGAAGCAGGCTCCCAAGGAGCGGGGAGCCCGATGCGGGACTCGATCCCAGGACGCTGGGACCATGACCTGAGCCGAAGGCAGACGCTCAACCATCTGAGCCACCCAGGCACCCCAAGAAAAACATTTCTAAGTGCCTTTTATTTTTTAAAAAGATTTCATTTATTTATTTGACAGACAGAGAGCACAAGCAGGGGGAGCAGCTGAGGGAGAGGGAGAAGCAGGCTTCCCGATGAGCAGGGAGCCCGACGTGGGGCTTGATCCCAGGACCCCGGGATCATGACCTGAGTCGAAGGAAAAATGCTTAAATGACTGAGCCCCCCAGGTGCCCCTTCTAAGTGCCTTTTAAGCAGTCCCTATTCAAAATCTACCTGGTTGTTTTGAAAATTTATGATATCCACTTTAAATGCATGGCAATTTCTGTCTCCTGAATAATAACCTTCAACATTACTTCTGTAACAGGTACTATTCCTGTTAAATTATTGTAATACAAAAAGTTTTTTGTTTTTTTAAAAATATTCTTTTTTTTTTAAAGTAGGCCCCATGCCCAGTGTGAGGCTTGAACTCACGACCCTGAGATCAAGAGTTGCATGCTCCATTGACTGAACCATCCAGGCATCCCAGGAATACAAAATAGTTTAACCAAATAGAGTAAGAATTCTGGAGATTTCATGGGCTATATGACCTTCAAAATATTTGAAGGTCAAAGACGCTAACTAAACACGAACACTTAAGAGCCTGATTGCTTATTTCTTTTTAAACTGTAATCACAAAAGCATTTTTAAAAAGATTTTATTTATTTGACAGAGAGAGTGAGTGCATGTGCGCACGAGCAGGGGGGAGGGGCAGAGGAACAAGCAGACTCCCTGCTGAGCAGGGAGCCAGCTGTGGGGCTCCATCCCAGGACCCTGAGATCATGACCTGAGCTGAAGGCAAGACACTTAACCAACTGAGCCACCCAGGAGTCCCTTAAATAAATAAAATCTTAAAAAAATAATAAAGTTAAAGATCCTGTAATTATTTGAAAGATAGTGCGATTTATGAAGAAAAAATTAGCTAGACAAATACAAAATACAGTAATTAGCTAAACATACATATTCTGTATAAAACAGGAATGTAGAAATATAAAACAGCAAACACAGAATAATGGACCAGGCTGGGCACGACCGACAGTCAAGGAGCTAACTCTAACCCCACTGCAGGACATGCCCTCTCAGACCTCACGATCTCAAGAGGCTGGGGAACGAAGTCAGAGTTGTACAAGCCAAACCGAAAATGAAGGCCCTTAAACTTCTCCAAGACTGAATGCTGGGAAATAGGACATAACCAAAAAAAAACGGGGGGAGAACTAGGATTGTTTAGACTGGCATGTTTAGTATGCTGGCAACGGGAATGAGCGTACAAGCTGCGCGATCCACTTGGCGCTTTCCTTGAAGCTAAGCTAACGTGACAGGAGGGCAGAATATATGACCACTGAGAGTAACAGGTGTGCATTCATGAAGCTCGGATTCCTCCCAAGTATATAATTTATGTATATTATATATGTTCAAACATGCAGAGGACTTCTACTTCTGGCCACGATGGAGTAGCCAGACCTAAATTTATCACCCACGTTAGCTTAAGAAGCAGACAGAATGTTCGGGATGACGGGTTCTGGGCTGGACAACGTGAGGCACTGGACACAGGAGTGCCCTGAGAGCATGGACACCAAGGGAGGTGAGCCTGACAACTATTTCCTGCCTAGATGGTGCCCAGGCCATGGCTCTGGCATGAGGACCCCAGAGAGATGTGAGTGGTTGCCCTGGGTGAAGAAGGGTGAAGAAATCAGGGAGCAGGAGGTTCCAAAGAAGAGCTAGAGGCCTCTGAAGACCCCTCATCTTCAGCCAATCAGCACATGAGGGAGCAAACTACCTGAGGTCAGGAAAGATGCCCCGGGAGGAGCAGGGGACAATTCCCAGAGCACAGAGGGCTGCAGATGGTATCCCTGCCAAAGAGGGATGAGAACTCTCGTAACACTAGGGCAGATTAGCAAGGCCACAGGATCCCAAGATTAAACGCTGTCGGGCCTGCCTAACAAAATTTAAATCAAACCTTGAAAGGCTCAGTGTCCAAGTTACTTACTTGCAAATGAGAACAAAGCTCCAAAATATTTGAAGGAATACAAAAACCCAGCACTCAATAATGTAAAATTCACAATGAAAAATGACCAGGCAACCAAAGCAGCAAGAATATATGACCCAAGATGAGGGAAAGTAATTCATAGAAGCAGATCCAGCAATTACACAGATGACAGAATGAGTAACAAGGCACCAAAAACTCTCACACACTAAACATGAGAAGGTAGAGGAAAGACACGGAAGAGAAAAAGATCCAAATGTTTACTTCTAAGATGAAAAATATCTCTGAGATGAAAAACACACAGGATGGGACTGACAACAGAAGAGACACTTGAGGCAGGAAACAATTTGAGCAAGTACTGGCCAAAAATTTTCTAAACTTTAACAACAGCAGACTTTTCATCAGAAACAACGCAAGATAGTCCTTTAAGAAAATAAAACTGATAAACCCTTTGCCACACTGATCAGGAAAAATAGAGGGAACAGGAAAATTACCAATATCAGGAACAAGAAAGGGGACATCTTTCTGGGACATTAAAGGGATATTCTGAATAATGTTCTGCCAAGAAATTCAACAATTTAGATGAAATGGATGAATTCCCTGAAAGTCATAAATAAAAAAAATCATCAAGAAAAAATAGATAACCTAGACAGATCTATATTATTGGAAATTAATTTGTATTTAAATGCCTTCTTATAAAACTACAGGCCAAGATGGCTTCACTGGTGGAATTCTCCAAGCACGTGAGGAAAAAACCCAATTCTACATAAACTCTTCTAGAAAAATGCCCAGGAGAGAACACTCCCCAAATCGTTCTATGAGGACAGCATTACCCTGATACAAAAACTAGCATTATAGGAAAACAAACTTATAGATAGTATCCTTCATGACTAAGATACAAAAATTCGTCACAAAATTTTAGCAAGTTAAATTGAACATATAAAAAGGATACCTCATCATGACCAAGTGGAGTTTGACCCCCAATAAAGGTTTGCAAGGTTTAACATTTGAAAATCAACAATATATTTTACCATATTTACAAACATAAAAGAAAAAGCTATATGATCTCAATAGCTGTAGAAAAGCCTTTGAGAAAATTCAACACGCATCCATGACAAAAACACTGAGCAAACTAGTTAGTAGTTGGAGTAGAAGGAAACTTCTGAAAACAACAGACTTAGACTTAATGGTGAAATCCTGAGGCTCTCCCCTTAAGAGTGGGAAGGAGGCGAAGATGTCTACTCACTGCAGAGGTGGCAGGGCCACGGCAGGGCAACAAGGCAAGAAAAGGAAGTGAAGGGCGCCTGGGTGGTTCAGTTGGTTAAGCGACTGCCTTCGGCTCAGGTCATGATCCTGGAGTCCCGGGATCGAGTCCCGCATCAGGCTCCCTGCTCAGCGGGGAGTCTGCTTCTCCCTCTGACCCTCTTCACTCTCATGCTATCTCTCATTCTCTCTCTCTCTCTCGAATAAATAAATTAAAAAAAAAAATCTTAAAAAAAAAAAAAAAAAAAGGAAGTGAAAGGTACCCAAACTGGAGACACAGAAGTAGAAGTAACATCATTAGCAGAAAACCTGACTTCCATATAGAAGGCAATCCTCAAGTATCCATAAAAAGCTGAGAATAACCAAGTACAATATCAATATACAAAAGTCAGGTGCATTTCTAGATACTAGAAACAACCATCAAAAGTTGAAAATTGAAAAAAAATTACATATCAAAAAGCATGAAATACTTAGGGATAAGTCTGACAAAGATTTATCGATGATGATGATGAGTCCCATAAATTGTACTCTTTAAATCTGTGCAGCGACTTGTATGTTGGTTATATTTCTACAATTCTATTAAATGCAAATAAAATACCTCGACTTCGAGGTCCTGGCGCTTGGGATTGTGAATGAAGAAGGTGAAGTTTTCCTCCCACACAGGTTCATTGGTTTTGTACCGAATCTGAAAGAAATGACCCAAATATCAACTTTCCGATATTTTATGTGGAAAAGAGCTACCAAGACTTTGTTTATTCATTTACTGTGTTTGGAAGCTTAGGATGACTTTAATTAAATTCCAAGACATTTATTTACTGAGCATGTGCTATTATATATTAATTGTGAAAGTGTTCAAAGACGGAGCTGGTCCAAAGTGGGTCAGGGAAACCCCAACTGTATGCCCATCCCAATGACAAGACCTCGTCTGCCCTCTGTTCTACCTCTCCCTCTACATAATGCTGGTAAGTCACGAAGCTTCCTAAACTGTGAGCATTTAAAAGTGAACAGTGGCCTATAACTTTAAATAATTCCTGAAATGCTTTTCTTATATTAAGTGGAAGACATTACAGCAACAGTAATGCCTCCCAATTCTTGAATAGAATTGTGTTTGTTGAATTTTAAGGACTGCTGGTTATCTTTCAAACAAAATATTTACAGAGCTTTCAAAGGAAACTTAGAAATTTATCCCATGTCATTTATCCATGAAATCAAGCAAAAAGCATATTATATTTTTTAGCATTATTTTTAAAAATGAACAATATATTTGTTACCCAATAAAGAAGTACGGCTATCTATGAGTTGACTGATTTGAGAAAACAAGAGAAAGATATGGAAATCAATGATCTCACGCCTATACCATCAGCCAGCTGACCGTTCTCATCTAAAACCGGTGACAGTGACATCACAGGAAACTAGTCAGAATCTTACCTTGCTCTCCTGGGCCTTGTGTCCAACTGACATCTGGACAAGAGGGTTTGGATTGCTGTTTATTTTCTTCCCTGACTATCCAAAAACAAAACCAGACAAAATAAGTAAGCATACATCTTGAAATGGGGCTTACTAAAAAGGAGATTATTGGCTCATATTAATAGTCATTTTTATTTATTTCTGATACTTCAGTTACAAGGAATATCTGGAAAGAATTTAATCGGAAAATAATTGCTGAGCATATCCCAAAGCAAAATTGTATCTACCATGAGATAAATTAAGAAAATTCCTGTTTGTATATGATTTTTAAATGCTAAGGTCTTTTATTTTTAAAGCAAGTTACTTTGGAAAAATGAAATCTTCCAAAAATCTTTAATGCTAATTCCAGCTCTCAAAATTTATCTTACTCGCATAAGATGAATAAGTGCAGCGAATGGAAACAGAAAAGCATGAGGAAGGGCAAACGTAGAAATGTACAATTCAGAACAGTCCCCTGGTTGAAATAATAAAAATACTACAAAGTATCAGAGATGTCCTCATGTTTTTAACTTAGTACATTCTGTGCAAACATGTAGCTATCAGATATCAAATCTTGCTTACCAGCTCCTAAGTAATTCTGACTGGAAGAATAAACATCAATCTAGAATTGCATTAAATTAAGCAGATATAAATACGAGAAAAATTCAGGAATAAGAAAAAAATGGTAAGAAGCATACTTTAGCAGACAGGTGATAGAACATAGTAAAACACAACATATATGGGACATGAGGTTTATTTATAACTTAGCCCCACAAGAAGATGCAGTTAAATATCTGTGTTAGTGGGAATTAATTAGAAGGTCACAAAAGTGTTTTTTAAACAATTTCAGAGTCAATCCTCAACACTGCAGCAATGACAGAAGTAGGCATCAAATTCATATGCTTATCAGAATAAAATATTACTGGCCCAAACATACTGTGATAATTTATTTTCTGGTTCATCTTTTTGATGAGAATAAATTCTGCAAAATGAAATAAATATTGTTAAAAAAAATACCCAAGGCTATAGACTACTATGGCAGAGAATACTAACTTTTCCCCTAAATCCTTCCTTTAATGCTGGAAGCCCGGAGTTCCACCTGAGCACAAGTCCTCTGTACATGAAAATTCTATTTCTGAACTTCCCTTGCAGTTGGGTGTGGCCAGGTAACAGTCTGGCCTCCAAGGAGGGGCATTCTCCCTTTGCGATGATGCTACCTTTGGCTGGAGAAACTGAACAGCAGAGCTACCGGCCAGGATTCTGTTACTTTCCAGGGAAATAAAACCGTCTTAGGCTACAGCGGCTTCTGATACAGCAACTGCATTGATACAAAAACTGTTTCCTGGCTAATATAAGTTACTTCATCTCTGAGAAAGTAACCATCCATTCCTAGAGTTATTGTACCTTATCAATTCTGAGACACACTTTTTTTTTTTAACTTTCTAACATCCCTTGAAAACAGAATGAAACTTATGGTAACTTTATGTACCTGTTTTTAGGCAGGTCCCAATAGTGAGATAGTTGTTCTTGCTTTAACTGATTTATTTTGCTTCCATTTTCCTTTTGTTGTGTGTGACGTATTAAAAATCTGTATTTATCCTAAGCCTAAAAATTCTTCCAATAAACACAAACACTATCAAGCCTTAATAGGAACTTTTCTTTCTTGTGGTACATAAAATAATGGTGTATTTTTAAATGATGTTTTAGATTTCATGAAATAAGGTAAAATCACTAAGTTTCTACCATGATGCAATATTCAAAATGCATGAGCACAAGTCAGATATATAGTGAAATGAAAATATGAGTTTTTATTTTTTTTAACGTTTTATTTTAAGTAGGCTCCATGCCCAAGGTGGGGCTTAAACTCACAACCCTGTGATTAAGAGTCACATGCTCTACTGACTGAGCCAGCCAGGTACCCCCAAGATAAGTGTTTTTAAGTTAGACTGTCTTGAATTAAATTTCAGCTGTTTGCAAATGATCATTGAGACCTACATATTTCATCTATTCGTACCTTGGTTTTTATGTCTAAAAAATGGACACAATACCAAAAAAGCCAGGTTTAAATATAATGATGTCATAACAACTAATAGCTACACTAAGCTCTTTTACATGCATGATCTTATTTACGGATACTCCAAAAAAGACCTATCACTTCCAGTCTGTAAGTAACAGAGGGCTGAACACCCTGCTGTAGCACACACTGATGAGTAGGCCAGACTGCGGTCCAAACCCAGACAGTCGCCCTCACGCCAACCATAATGTCTTGCTGCTTAATGACCCTCAGATATCAAAGAAATGGTGAGGCTCTCCTCACTGATCTGCTGATCTAATTCCTTCCAGTGTTCTGGGAGCAGTTATTTTAACTGCTGTGCTAACTAGTACTGTGAAGGAGTAAATCACTGGTAGGCCACACTTCATCTCAGGGTAGGTAAGGGCTTAATAAACACTATGTCAGAAAGCAGACATTGTTTGTCTTCCTCACTTTTAAAATTGAACTTATTTTCCTACATGTAGTGATAAAAAACCATTCCTGATTCCTTTGGAGAGAATTTTCTTAAAACAATTAACATTTAATCCACCCCTCCCCAAATATTTAAGCCTAAAATGTTCAAAGAAATCAGAGAAAAAATAATAAAACGCCGTAAGTCATAGAAAAGTTAACAATTTAGCCAGAAAATACATGTTCATGTTGTTTTAGGGAGTGGAGCTTAGTTTTCAATATACCTCATTTAATGAAATTTAAAGCTTCTCGAAAGATCTGTCACCCAAACCCAGCAGCACCAAAAGCCATGAGGTCACCGACTAAAAAATGGCCCTAACTCAGCATATTGGAAGAGGTGATTTCTACACGGATAGTCACAGTGCACAAGGAAGAAATGTCTTGAAATCATAATCTAGAAACCGGTTAAGTTTTTAAATAAACCTTCTATTTCACCATTTTCACAAATTCAAATCCAATTAAAATGCAGATGATTTAAAACCATCTTAGATACTGCTGCCTAAGGCCAATAGGACAGAAGTCTAATTTATCATATTGGTACTTTATAAAATTTATCTTCAAACTTGACAAATTCTTCTAACTACTAATTCTTGGGTAACAAAAAGGATCCCTCTAACTAGACAACTGATGACTACATTAGTAGGGAGGCACTTTGTCAACAGACCCACGAGAGTTAAAAAGCATCATCTCTTTCAATATGTTTCAATTAACTTTTCAAAGGGAAGCTATTAGTTTACCTTTAAAGCTTTCTGAACTGCAGACTTCTTCAAGACATCAGGGTTAAATTCTAATGGGTTACTCTTTCAAGTCAGAAGAAAATGAATATACCAAGGGTTAATAAAACATGCAATGAGGAGTTTATGTAAGGTTAATGACATGAAAATTTATGAGAACAAAAAAGAATCTTTAAATGAAAATCACCAACAAGAATGACACAAAAAACCAGTAGAACTCATTTTTAGCACATAAAATTCTTTATGCCCAAGATTTTATCTTAGAATGAGCCTTTAATAAATATCAAAACACATTTCCTCTAGGATTACTACAATCCTTTAGGATTACTGTTCTTTTTATACTCCCAGCCCTCTTGTCTTTGAGATTCGAAAAACCCAGGAGTGACACTTTAAGAAAGGGTTCTATTTACTATCCTTTACTTGAATAAACCCCTAAAATATCAACCGTATATACAATACAGGCTTTACCCAAACTACAAACGAATGGGCTATGTATGCCCAAATTGCTCTCAAGTCAGCTCATACCCTAGCCTAGCAGATGCTACTCGACTTCCTTCGGAAATTCACCTTCTTCGTGCCTTCTCTACTTCACTCCCATTCTCTCCCAAGCATCAAATGCAGAAGCTGATCACATCATTTCAAAAGTCTGTCCTGGCTTTAAAGTTCTATTATTATGGGTTTTATTGTTCTACTTTTATTGACTTTTAAAAAAATTCATTACTTTCTTGCCTTCAAGAGGGCAAGACTGAGTTGTTTCACAAGCTCCTTCAAGGACTAACATTTAAGATTAAAGATTTTATCATGTTAGTTGTAATTACCTTCCTATGACAAACTGCTTTTATTATGCTTTCATTAAACAGATTTCATAACGAAGAAAGATGGACCACTAGCTTCCCTGCCTCCTGTGGCCATGGTAGGCTGCTCCAGATGAGAAGATAAAAACATCTGGCCAAAAGGAATTAATGTGACATAAAGGCCAGATCATTGAGGTGGTCTGTGGAGCTTCAAAAATACGGGACCCACGAGACTGGACTCTAGCAGGAGCCTGGACAGGTAAGGCTGGGACCACTGCGCTGAGGTGTGAGGACTGACAACCTTCAGGTGTCATAAGAACCTTTTCTGAAGCTCACTTTGGATAGATGTAATCTAGGCCAAGTGCACATATTATTCTAACATGCGTCAGTGAAAGCAACACAGGAGAGGCCGTGGTGCAGGTGCTAGAGGAGCACTGTGAGGTCGTGGGAAGCTGCACAGGCTTGCAGGAGAGACAGGCCAGATCACACCGGTGCACTCATACAAGCCCACTGTGAGCCCTGGATGTTACTGCACCTTCCACCCTTGGGCTGTTTACCATAAGTGGAAGCACTAACAGCTACCTATACCTTTTAAAGACTTTTATTTTTAAGTAGTCTCTACACCCAGTGTGGGACTTTAACTCACAACCCCAAGATTAAGACTCGCATGTGCTCCCAACTAAGCCAGCTGGGTGCCCCCGCTTTGTTTTTAAAGATTTTAAAGTAATGCCACCTGTACTTTTAAAAAGTGAGATGGCACCTAGCATCATCAAACCCAAAGGTCTTCACATTATATAGCTAGCATTTTTATGTATAAAGCAGGCAACAGTGTGAACACTCATCTTAGATAAACTCCATGGACAGCTCTATGAACTTACAAACTTGAAGTGATAATGAATTCACTTTAAACTAGGATGGAGTAGACAGCAGAGTTCAAATTCCAGCTCTGCTACTGACTAGCTGTGATCTTGGGTCTCTAACCTCAGTCCCTCACAGTCTATGTGTTGTTTTAGTTTCCTTATCTGAAAAGTGATCATGAGGGCCTGAGACTAAATGAGGCATACAGGTAGAGCCCTTGGAAGGTGCTCAGCAAATGTATACTATTGGGTAAATCTCAGGTTGTAAAGCTGCTTAGCCACTGGGAGCCAGAGAACACCCTGAGCGTTCCAGTTTCAAATTCAGCCCAAAATTTGATCAAAAGAAGGAGGGCAAAGTGCTGACAGTCTACATTGCCAAGGGGCTGTTTCCAGTACGGGAGAAAGTCCTGTAGTGCTAAGGGTCTGCAGATGGCCTCACTGGTGGTAATGCATACACAGGGTTGGAAAATAAGTATTCTGAGTAGGTAGAAGCTAAGAGTCCATTGTGCCTGGCCTTTATTAGAAATACCAACGGTCTCAGGCCTTTCGGGGAAAACTGAGAAAGCAATGATTTAACTTCACACTGAAAACCAACGGATTTAAAAAAGAAAAAAGGCAATCAAATCCGTTCAAATTTATTTTATAAAACACTTTATTGATGCCTATATTTGAATCATTAAGCAGTACTAGTACGTGATTTTGATAATGCGGGAGGAAAGGTAGTTTTGATAACCTAGCAATGTCTTAGCTAAATATTATAAAGCAATTAAAAAATCTTGACACAAGGTCAGAAATACTTCCTTTAAAAAAAGCAGTTACAGAATGAGAAAAAGTAACTAAGGGAAGCTACTGTAGACCAACAGAGTTTATGCATGGGAGGTACACACTGTCGTTTATAGACACAGCTTACAATACAACCTTCCACTAAGAAACAGAAAGTCATTGTATGAAAAAGTGACAGAGAATGGTTGCCAATAGGCACCAGTGACCTCATTTTGACTTTTAAAATGCCTTTAACAGGAACAAGCAAAGAGTGAGGAGATTACCATTTCCTACCTACGTGACTCTCAACAGCTCACCAAACCCTTCAGGGTCTTGATTTCCCTCAGCTATAAAATGGGACAAAATACCTATTCTTCAAGTTTTGCTCCCCTTCTTTTTTAAATAAGAATAAATTGAAAATGCACATGGAAATAGAAATGAAAACCCTTCAAAAATGCAAAGCACTACCACTATTAGATTCAAAGGCCAAAGAACTTTAAGGATCTCAGTAGTTATTGATTAAATCAGTCTAGAAAGAGTAACTTTCTAGACTAATGACTAAGCCATTGGTGACCTTCTCTGACCTCAAAGCAAGTAAAAATCACTACCTGCTAAAAGCACCAAGAACAGTACCAGGAATCAAGGCCCCAGAGCAAGACCCAGGAAACAGACATAATGAGATCAGAATCAGCTTCCCAAATAAGGGTTAGAGATGCTCAATTATCCACTCCTGGAAATTCTATTAAGTTCCTTAAAAGAAGCCAAATCATAAACTCAATATATTTTTTTCTCCCTTAGGAGCGCTGGTTAAAAAGTGAGGGAGAAGGTAAGTTTGCAGGGTAAGAGGTGGACTTCTGTCTTCACTGACCATCCCTTCGGGCACAGTTGGCACCTTTCAGGAAAACCACATTCTGACACTTCTGTGTTTTGTCAGGAGGAAAAGTAGATTTAAGGAAGTTTTTTGAAAGCTTGCAAATAAATATTTACATCTCACATTGAGATGAACCACAAGAAAATCAGTTTTAATCATTATGGCTTCATTTTTTCCTCAGAAGAATTTTTATCTTTATCTTTTTATGGGCCGGTAGCAGCTTAGGAACGTTAGGCTTCTTCATGACTCACCAGGTTTGTTCAGATGTAGTCACCAAAGTTGGTTACAGCAGTGTTACTTTTACAAAACAAGCACAAAAGAAACACACACACAGTAACTGAAATCATGCAAGAAAGTTAAAAACGCATGCCACACCATTCCACCACCGAGTAGATGGCATTAGAAGTCCCAGCCCACATTCTAGCAGTCTCCATTAAAACAAAAGGAAGAAAGAACACTGGAGAACTCACAAATAGTGCTCTATAGACTGAGGTAGTATTTTCACAAAACACTAGTCCCGACGCTCGCCTCTCTTTTAAGTAGCCACACCCAAAGTTTCCCTCGTAGATACTCTTAGGAAAGTGGAAACAGGAGGAGAAAGCAAAGAATGGTGGATTGCGGTCAATGAACGCACAAGAAGCACTAATAAATAGGAGTGCAAAAGGCAGAGTCAAAGCATCCCACAGAAACGCGGGAGAACTGGTTGGCAATCGCTCCCATTTAAAATAAACACCCAACAGGGCAGCGGTTTTGCAAAGATCCTTTGCCTCTGACAGCCAGAGCATACTTCATGCACAAAGTGCCATTTTAATAGATTAATAAATTTACTTCTGCTTTTGTTTTGCTTACGTGATGTTATTTAAATTTCAATTTAACGTGACAAAATACACAGTTCCAAAGAGGCCTAATTCCTTCTTGCCAATTCACTAATACTATTCTTTGTATCCTAAAATATACAACAAATTCACTTCCATCAGGGATTATAAAAGACTTTATAATAAACATTACTGTGATTAAAAACAAAAAAGTTCTACTGTATGAGAAATTCTGTAGGAAGGTTAAATAGTAACAAAATAACTTTCCCCAAGTTGAAATTGTAACAGAAAAAGTCACAGAGTTCTAACTGGAAGATTGGCCAAAAGGTTAAGGTAACACTTTAAGAAAAAATAAGAATTTGCGAAGTTAAAAGTCAGTCCAAAAACCTTCACTGAAAGAAAGAGTACAATTATATATAATTACACAGAGTGTTCAACTATATCTTCCCAGTATAAAAAAAAATGACTTTAAATAAAAGATAGAGATGCATAAAGTACCTTTATTTGCTTTTGAGCTAAGTGCAAGTAAAGCACCACTGTAAAATCCTGAAAGGCATTAGTGAAACTAGGGTGTGTATTTCATGGGACAAAGGAAACAGTCTAGCTGTGGTGAGGTGAGGCTAGGCACAGTCCAACATGAGACACTCAGATGCAAACTGTGAAGGGCAGTGAACACTTGGCTTCCTTGTCTGTCTCTACCAAGTAGATGCCAACAAGGGGAGGACACAGGGAGACTACATGCAAATGCACTTGGATGGATGAGAATTTATTATAATTTTGGGAGGAAAACAGCCTGTATCTGTAGTCTTTCTTTCACCAAATAAGAATGGCCATCTCTTGAATAAGTGAACTGGCACTAAAAAAAAATATGATCAAAACAATGTATGTGTCTATAATGATCACATTATCCTAAATAGTGGGTTTAAAGTACGGTGGTGGAGGATCACAACAGGCTTCACATGAATGGAAATAGTATGATTTTTCTTCCCCCCAATTTTAGTCATTACCTATAAAGGCTGTACTTCAGTTTTTTTTCTAAGAGCAAAGCAGTTCTGATGCAAATGAGTAGGAGCACTTGCTGTGGGCTGTAGGAGCCGGGTATGACTGATCACCTGAGGCTCCACTCAGAGGCCCTGCTCTCCCAGCCTGCCCGTCTGTCATCCTACCACGCTACAGCCAGGATGGACTCTGGGCTTGTAGGCAGAGCCGCTTCATTTTATTCCCATGCCAAACAGACAACTTCCATCTTTAGGTCACTCTATTTTAATAATTAGTGATTTTCTATAGAATACCTTCTTCCCTAACTACCAGGCACATTCTTTTCCTATGTAATGGAGATTTCTTCATAAAACATGTCAGAGTAAAAATAATTCTTAATGTCCTGGATAAATCCGTAAGATGTATAAACCGAAATTATACTCATGAAGCAAATACATGCTGATCGCTCCCTCCCCCGTGCTGCTCTCCCAGGTGGGAGTGACGTGAAAACAGAGGAACAGTAACCGGTGACACAGTGTGGGTGAATGCAGCAAGATCTGCTACCAGGAAAGGAGTACCCAAGGGAGCTCCCATGGCATTACCTACCGGAAGGTTCCTTGCTGAATCCAAATACAAAATGAGCAATGAAGAGGAAAGACCATCATTGGCTTGGTCTTTGTCAGCCCTGATGTCTGTTAGCACCTATGAGAAAGGACAAAAAGCCTCAGCAGGTGTATTTCCACAGGATTTTAGACTATTTCTCCCTGATTAGGTCTGTAATGCTCAAGAAAAGAAGGAAGGTGGGGAAATAAACCAACCGATACATGCAACACAGAGAGAAAGAACACAATAAATATATTTTAATGACAAGAATCTATATGAATCAATTAAAGAAAGCACAGGTGATCTGTGGCTCTCCAAACCCCCATACTCTATCAAGCACAAAATATGAAGATCTCATAAAACAGGTGGGTATGACCTGTACATCTTTCTTTAAAAAAAAAAATTCCATTATCTTTAATTTACCCCTGATGTGACTGCAGTGACTTACTTAATTTAATCAAAATTATTGCTGCCATTTTTCTAAGCCAAGTAGAAACGCAACCTAAAGATACTAATCTTAGCTATGAGAGGTGGTTGTTGTCATGGGAAATACTTCACAGCACCTTGTCGAGGTTTGAAGCATTTGGCATTAATGTGAGCCACTCCAGTTTCAAGTGTAGCTTTCCTCTGGGAACCTCGTCCAGGGCGAACCACTGAAGAGAGAACGTGAACGTTCACAAAAGTTCTCCTGAGTCAACCTTTCCAGTCAAGCAGTTTCCACCAATGTCACAAGCTGCTCACTGTGAGGCACCGACAGTTCCTGATTAATGCTGAAGGACCGAGTCCTACCATATTTTGCTTTGCCCTTCGAATGAGCTGATGGCCCCAGAGGATGACAAGAGCAGTGCGCTGGAACTCGCCCAGCACTGCCACCACTCTGGAGTCAATACCATTTTCATCCCTAACTTACACACAAGGATTCAAATGTCTTCTAGTACTGTCCAGCACTGTCAGGCTTCTATGTATGGACTTCAACAGAATTTATGGGCCAGGAGGTAATATAACATTGATCCCAAATACTGAATTTCATTATCAAAGAAGTTAATATGTTTGTGTTCTTTATTCACCACTATGTACTACTTAATAAAATAGTATACATGTGTTTCAGCTTAAATGCCACAAAGCAATTCATCAAAGATAATCCCCAAACACTCAGTGTTAAGAGACTGCCCTGGGGAGTGCATAAGAAAATGTGTTACTTTGAAAGCAGTGGATCTCAACACTTATTTGGTTAATTATGCCCTACTTATCCCAATTATACCCATCTTTTAGAAGCCACCTCAAAATTTTCTTTTTTAATACTTCTTATTCTGACAGCAATATCGTGCTTGAAGTAGTGTCTGCTTGTTGTAAACTCCCACTGCCCTATAGGCGGCTTTCACGTGACAACTTCTCACTGACCACACTGTGCTAGCTCTGTTACTAACTCCAGCTATCTTTAAAAAGCCCATTTTTGGGGAGCTTCTCACAGGCCTCTGCCCGGACTCCCAAAGGAGAGCACATGTCTGAAATGGTCGGTTTGTGCTTGTACTCTTCTGAATTTCTAGCATATGGTGGGCACACAATACACACTATCTGATTGGGCTGTTAAACTTACTTCTTTTCACTTTGCCATTATTAAAAGGCCTAAGTTCTCAGAACATTGTGTGGGGGACCAGCAGGTCTGTCAACGCTCATGAAATAGAATAATACTCAAAGAAAACTTACTTCATCTAAAAGGCGCTCCTTCTCAACTTCAATAAGATCAATCATAAGACTATAGAAATAACAACACAACAACTTTAGAACATAGAAACACACTTCTTACAACTGCAATAACCTTAAACATTTGTCTACGAAAAAGTACTCCGGAAATGTATCAAAATGCTATATAGTTTATCAAGAAACAGACTTCTTCCAGAAGCTTCCTCAGGCTTATCCCAAAACTATGAAGGGAAGTAAAGAAACAAGCAAGGGTGAGTCTCTGGGAGGTCAGGACCCTCAGTTTGGCAAAGCCAGGATCAGAGTTGTAAAAAATGTGGTTTTCCCCACAACGTAGCTATTTATAATGTGCTGAAAATGTTTGAAAATATTCAGCCCTCTTGTCTGACATGCTCTCCCTCAGCACTGCCATCCGTCACTACAGCTCAGTCATCCACGCCCCTTTCCTGTCCTCGCTCCACAGCTCTGAACCATCCCAGAGATGTTTCTGGTTCGGCTATCTGAGAGCCCCTTTCATTTCCCCTAAAAATCCTGCTCTACTGCAGAGCATGGACCTCCCCTCCCTCAGAAGTCAGAGATGCCGAGAATGGGATGACTGTAATCCTATTTTCTCTCGCAGCTGCCCCTCCTCCTGCCCCTACACCAGGTGAGACCCTCACAGCTCTTTCCTGGTCTATCACCACAGTCCCCAGTCTCAGTCCCTGCTACTCTGAGCCACACAGTGGTTTTATTAGAATGCAAATTTGATCCATCACTGCCCTGCTTACAATCTTTCGGTCGCCCTTGTTAAACCATCTCATGAAAGAATTCTGAAGTCACAGCACAATACACAGGCCGTTCTTGAGGAGGCCAAATCTGTCCAACGTCATCTATCCCTCAATGTTTTACAAGTCAGTCAAATAATAAAGATTAGGGTTAGATGTATTTTTTAAAAGCTCATGTTTTTCAGCTGTAGTGGTTGTTCAATTTAAGTAAACAAGTCAATATTTATTTTTCCAATGTGTAGGCACAATGTAAATCACTATCCCCCCTGCTCCCTAAATAACTCAACAAATCGAAAAAGCTTAAAAACCCCTTTCTGCAGTCGAGAGCAGAGCCTGCACAGCGTGAAAGCAGGCTGCGGTACTGGCATCTGGGGCCACACTCCACATGCGGCTTACCAGTACCCGAATGTGGGCAAGTAGCTACACGTGGCCAGTGGCTGCTGAAACAGACACAGATATAAAATTTTTCCTTCTTGTACTTATATGTGAAACTTTATAGGAATAAAACATACTTCAAGAAGTCTAAGGTGAAACAAATGTTGTATTTAAGAAGCCACTTAAAAATACACGTAACACATACACAGCGTGTTTTTTGAAGCCGTATTGGTTCTAAGTGTCACTACTCAGAAGAAAGAGCACCCTGTGCTCTCCTTCCCCGAGGGTTTACCTTCCTAGGAAGTCATCCTTGTCTGGGTCTTCGTCAAAGAGCTCAATCTCTAATTCCTGTCCAGGATGTTCATAGACTAAAGCCTGAAAAAACAAGGAGTAGTTATCTTACACGGTTACTACTGTTAGCAGCTACTGAACATGAGGACGGTAGTAAGGAGCACCCTGCAGTTCTCTCCCATGATAAGTACTGGAGCACTTACATTGTGTCACTGTCCAACCACACACACACACAAACACATGTCTCCACGGGAGACCAGCTAACAGTCTACTGTGCTTCCAGTTATCTGAGTCAAGTTCCACTGCTCCAAAGTCAAGTCACGAGACAGCGCCCACAAACTGGTACAGGCTTGGGACATCTTTCTAGTCCTGAAGTGGCTCTGTTCAAATGCTATTCTTGGGATACCAACAAGTGATCCATTTACCACCTCTTAGAGATTAAGAAATCTGGCAACAAACTGGATTGGGAGGATGGGAAGCTGGTGGAGCATAAACTGTACAACTGTTCTGAAGAACAATTTTGCAAAAATGTATCATTCTTTCAAAAAAGCATGATTTATGATGCAGCAATTCCACTTTGAGGAGCTTATCTGGAGAAAACCTGGTCAAGTGAAGAAAAATACATTCCCATTACACTGGTAATAGCAGTGGTTCTAATGCTGAAATGAACAGCCAGTATCTCCTTGGGTAAAGAAATGATGGAATCTATTCAGTGAATGGCAAGTATAAATCATGTTCATCTATGTTTACTGACATGAGAAAGATGTCTAGATGTATTAAATGAGAATTTACAAAACAGTACATAATGATCTCATGTTTGTAAATGTTTACATATGTTTACAACCACAGAAATCACTTTGTCAATTATTTATTGTGATAGTTTAATGTAATTAAAGTTTAAAATTTATGTGTTGTTTATGTGTTGGCATGACAATGTTGTGAGGTAGGGACAGAAGGTACAATACTTCTGAAGGTGGGAAATTAAAGAAAAATGATTTAAATGATGCTCTAAACCAACCACACTCCAGTAAAATAGGAGTGGAATCAGAATTTGGAGAGAAGCCAACTGATGCCACTGGACACATCTTACCTCGTACACCTCATTCCACTTGGGACTGAGGTTCTCTTTGATGACCTTGCTTTGGAAGATCTGGTTGCCAACTCGAATAACTCCATAGGGGTCTGACTTTCCCTTGACGAGTCCCTTAAGGTACGTATCTTTCCCCTGAAGATCCTGAGCTTCAATAAAATGTATCCTTAGAACACCCTGAAAAGAAGGAGCACGCACGGACTGTTCACTGTGACACACATGGAACAATGGCTGTGTGCTCACTGTCCTAAGAATGGGGAAGAGTGGACAACATGAAGACCCTCTCCCTGCGCAGCAGAAAAGAATGTCAACGTGGACTGTCGGGCGGTAGTGCGGAGGGAAAGCCAGAGCAAGGCGGACGACACTGTCCGAGTATCACTACTTTCCGTCAGGAGACCAGACCAGGGTGGAGTGAGGGGTGAGGCCCCCAGTGACAGTGTGCAACAGGAGCCCGAGGAGCCTTAGTCTCCTGGGTCACCCAATAATCCTGTGTTCAGTACGACAGTGACTGAGAACCACCATTACAGGATGTCTCAGACCTGTCACTAAGCCCTTGGCAGGCGCTCATTACTTCAACTTTTAGAACAATCCTATGAAATACAGCTGACCAGAACAAAACAGGTTTGAACTTCATGGATCCACTTATATACAGATTTTTTTCAATACAGAACAGTACCATAAATGTATTTTCTCTTCCTTATAATTTTCTTAGTAACATTTTTTTCTCTAGCTTTATGGTAAGAATACAGAATATAGTACATAACATATAAAATACGTGTTACTGGTTTATGTCATTGGTATGGCGTCTGGTCAACACTAGGCAATTAGTATTTAAGCTCTGGGGGAATCAAAAGTTATATGCAGGGGTGCCGGGGTGGCTCAGTCGTTAAGCATCTGCCTTCGGCTCAGGTCATGATCCCAGGGTCCTGGGACTGAGCCCCACATCGGGCTCCCTGCTCCGCGGGAAGCCTGCTTCTCCCTCTCCCCCTGCTTGTGTTCCCTCTCTCGCTGTGTCTCTCTCTGTCAAATAAATAAATAAAATCTTAAAAAAAAAGTTATATGCAGATTTTCTACTGCACAGGGGCTCGGCGGCCCCACCCATGTTGTTCAAGGGTCAACTGCACTGTCATTAAATTTATTTTATAGATAGGAAACTGAAACTTTGCAATACGTACTACTCATAGACTTTACACAGTTTTCTTTTCCTAAAATGTTGTTTAATTGGTAAAATAAAAAAATGTTCACTCACACCTCTTTCAAGGCAAACAATGGTAGTAAAGTTAGCACGAGGCAGTATTCTCCAAAAACCCTTTCAAAATCACTGGGTAATAGTCCTGACCCAATCAGCTGGGAAGACATGCGTTTTTACAGATAAATACGCTTTTAAAAACTTAGAGAATTTCCCGTTTCCAGGAAATGTGTCTAAAATTTAAATAATCTGGCAACATGTTTAAGTAGCGTGGCTTTTAAACCCCACAAGGCTAAGGAAGGTTGGATCTGGGCGGGCTCAGGTGCTCACCACGCTCAGGGAATGAAAGGTGCGAGTGGCAAAGGAGGACGAGGATTTCTTCATGGAAGAGACTTCTTGTGTTTTCAGAGATGAAAATCCTAAGTTAAGGAAAAAAGACTGTCCCATCAAATCTGAATGCCAATAATATAACTAGTTCAGGCATCAATTAGCTGGAGTGTTGGTACTTTCAAAAAAATGTAAGCAAGCTCAGACATATTTGAGGATTTGTACACTGTTACGGAGATCTAACTTAACCACAAAAAAGTAACAAGCATCAAGGAAAGCTGTCTGCTTCCACTTCGGCAAACAAACTAAAAACAACACACCCAGTGAAACAGGACCAACTCAACACCTTCTGTTTAGTAAAAGAAACTGTCCTGTGCGTGTCAGTGTCACACTCATTACAGACATCATACAACAGGGTTGCCTGCTCCACTTCTGGAGGGCCCAGTGGGAAAAGCTCTGTGAAAATGAGTAAAAGGAAAATCCTCCTTTACATTGGAGTCGGGAGGCCAGAAGGGGCAGTGCCCAGGCTCTACCAGTCCACTGTCCACTGCAGACCCAACAGGGAGAGATGCATCTCCCAGTGGATACTATTTTACTATCCCGGAAGGAGAAAGGAGGGTTTCCTCCTGCCCTGGCAACAGCTCAGCCAGCGAGAAGCCACTACACTTCCCAGCTCCAAGTTAACACCAACGGACTTTTAGATTAATGCAGCCCCTCCCAGTGCCCCCTCTCCTCTGTAAAAGAGCCTCCTTTCCTTTGTTCTGCAGAATCACCTATGGTTTTGCCATAGCGTAATTGTCCCAGATTGCAATTCTCTGCTGTTCCCGAATAAACCCATTTTTGCTGGTAAAGTAACAGCAGTTTATTTTTTTATTTTATTTTGGGGGGGAGGGTGGAGAGGGAGAGAGGGAGACAGAGAGAGAGAGAGAGAGACAGGCAGGCGGGACAGAGGAAGAGAGGGAGAGAATCTTTTTTTTTCTTTTAAGATTTTATTTATTTATTTGACAGAGAGAGATAGAGTGAGAGAGGGAACACAAGCAGGGAGAGTAGGAGAGGGAGAAGCAGGCTTCCCGCGGAGCAGGGAGCCCGATGCGGGGCTCGATCCCAGGACCCTGCGATCATTACCTGAGCCGAAGGCAGACGCTCAATGACTGAGCCACCCAGGCGCCCCAGGGGGAGAGAGTCTTAAGCAGGTTCCACACCCAGTAAGGAGCCTAAAGTGGGGTTCAATCCCACAACCCTGAGGATCATGACCTGAGCTGAAATCAAGAGTCAGACGCTTAATGTATTGAGCCACCCAGGCACCCCTGGGGGTTTTATTTTAAGGTTAATAGCTCTCACTAACCTGTGAGGGCCCATCCACTCCAAGGACCTCTTCTCTGACCAGTGGAGGGAATACTATGTCCTTGACCAGCAATTTCTCACAGTCTTTGGTTGAGGTTACATAGTTTACTCAAATGAAGGTGACTCCAGTATCTGTGACCTAACTCTGTGTGCTAGGCATCACCCCAAATTTACAGATGAAGAAACTGAGGTCCACACATGCCAAGTTATATGCCCAAAAAGTAAAGCTTATGTTAGAACCCAGGGCTGTGACGGAGATCCAGGCCCTGCCCTCTCGATCCCGTCCAGGGCAGTTGTAACACCAGCACTGCTTCTGCCGCAGTGCTTATGACTCCATAGGTAACCACACTCTCACTGCTGAGAGAAACTCTGTACCAGTCATTATACAAAGTGCCCATCACTTAGACTAAGCTGTTACATTTTGATAATACAAATAGTATGTGCTTTCTGAGATAACTATGCCGTCACGTCAGTCCTTTATGACCTGCAATAATATTTGCAGAATTAAATCCCTCTAAGCACCTTGGACGTTCATGGCTGAGGTTTAAGAATTGCCCTGAAGTCTCTGATGCACACTGGCCAATCTCCTAAGGAGTGTGACAGGACAAACTACCACATCAAGATCCATATGGCAAGGTCACTGTTAAGAGAACCACGAGAAGTTACAACATCCAAGTATGTGATAAGCTTCTCTATATCTAAGTGCTAATGGGTGCTCAGGAGTACTTACCTTTGGTATAGGAAACCGCAATTGAGCTATTTGAACTTCACTGACAAGAGGAACGGTGATCCGATTGGGAAGCACCAAATAGTTTGATATTATATCCAGAATGATCGTATCTGACAGACCACTATTAGGTAGGTGGTAAAAAAGAACAAATCAACTGTCAGGCATATCAATACTAGTTATTGCTTTAGCAGCAAACTTACCACAAACATGATACAACACCCCATTTACAAGGTCAGAATTATCTAATTTTTCAAAGACAATATTTAAGACAGTAATTCAATACTTTAGCTGCAATATGGCTATGGTGACTACTATGTGGCATATATATAAAGCTGAGATGTATAGCTGAGAATACAAGGTAATATTCTGGCTACATTTCATAATAGTCTAAATGATGTTTCATATGTTCCTGTGTGACTTCATCACTGATTTAATATCAACTAAGACACATTACATTTTCTTTTCTTTTTTTAGCATATTTCAAACAGCCACAAAAGTGCAAAGAATACCATAACAAACATCCACCTACCCATTCCAGGTTTCTTACATTAAATTTCTCATTATTTTTGCAAAGCTTCCAATCAAGTAAAAGAATTTATAGTTTATTCTCTCTTCACACTGTATTTGCGTACTAAATACTTTTAATAATTTTGAAATTCTATATACCACTGCACAGAGAACTCAGTAATATGAATAAAATTGTGGAGGATAAAGAAACAAATGTACTTCTAATATATTTTTGCCTATTCTTTGGGGTAAATGTGAGAATTAAGTAACATGTATGGGACAACATTTTTGAAAGCATAAATGAAATTTCAACACCTTTACCCAGAACTGAGAAGTTTTAAGAGAATCTTATTTCTTGCCACTACTTCTCAGATGTTAAAATTGTTAACAGATATATATAAAGTAATTGTACATATAAAATACCCCCTAGGACAGAGTGAAAGTCTCCATCATTCAGTAATAGTTGAACATGCACTCTAAGCTGGGTATCCAAATGCAATGACAAGAGAAGGGGTCTTACCTTAGGACTTTCCAGTCCAAGACAGAAAAAAGACTGAAAAACCCACAACCCCACAGACAACACAGCTCTATTTACGCATATGTCCGTGAATTAGACGTTAACACTAAAGAGACAGAGAGGGTTTCAGCTGCCAGACACTGGATATATGCTCACTAAGCAGCGATGTGAGATGGTCCTTCAGAGTTTGAATACCAAGCATATTCTTACTTTGCCATTCCACTCCAACCCAAATACTGGTTGTGTTTATACTGAAAAATCTGCTGGAACAGAAAACCCTTTGATGATGCTATGCTTTCAAGAATCCCTTAACTGCTATGGTGGTAGGCCAACTGCCTCACCACCCACCCTAGTCATGCAGACTGAGAGGCCCAACCCCCAGGAAAGCAGAAGGCCCACCCTGGTGCCTCATCCCTGCTCACCTTTCTATGCCACTGTGTACATGCCAGCCTCCTCCTGAATTACCAGGGCTGCAGTGCTGCTCCTAAGGGTCCCCGGGGGCATCGACATGCGGCTGGCCCCTCTGCTGGTCCCGGCTGCTGTCGGGGTCTAGTCCTCTTTGCCCTTCAGAACTGCCTGCTCATCACCTGACTCTTGTTTCTATCATAATTCTCATCCCTTCTTATACCTTTACCACTCAGTTTAGGGTTCTTCATTGAAACATGTAGGGATAGCCAAAATTTATGGTCAAGTGCAGTAGTTCAGGTATTACTGCTACTTTATAATACTCCGGGTTCCGTTTTTTATCAATGAATACAGCATGTAGATGTTCATTTTGTAATGCTTGAGGCAAGATTTGTTAGAAAGTCTTTGAGTGGGAAGCACAGTTCAAATTTTATGTTAAGTTTATATGTATATATTTTATTACATAAAATTTACATGTTACATTATATAAGTTTTACATAATTTTGTATGAATTATATATATCCTATAGAAATAATATAATTTTATTTAAAAGGGATGTTTTTATATATACCTTTTATACCACAGCTTTGTTTCTGACTGGTGTGTATTTCCCTCCATATTTCTAATATACATGAGTATATATTTTTAATAATATAATTCTCTATATACTATATTTTATATACTGCATGCATAGAAATCTATATATAAAATAACTAAAAACTATTACTAAAGAGAACCTGCCATTATCATTAAATATCATTAAATAAAATTGAGTGTATATATTTATGTATCTTCATGTATGTAGACATATGTGTGTGAGTATATGTATTTCCCTTTTACTTCATTTTGTATTTTTATTTTTTAGTAGGCTCTATGCCCAACATGGGGCTTGAACTCAAAAACCCTAGATCAAAAGTCACATGCTGTACCAGCTGAGCCACCCAGGCGCCCCCTTCTCTCTCTTTTTGAAAGTGTTTTTTTTTTTTTTTTTAAGATTTTTAATTTATTTATTTGACAGAGAGAGACAGACAGCGACAGCAGGAACACAAGCAGGGGGAGTAGCTGAGGGAGAAGCAGGCTTCCCGTGGAGCAGGGAGCCCGAGGCAGGGCTCGATCCCAGGACCCTGGGATCATGACCTGAGCCAAAGGCAGACGCTGAACGACTGAGCCACCCAGGCGCCCCCCCCCATGTCTCTCTTTTAAATAAATGATTTGCGACTGACTCCCCCAGCTGCACGCTTGCCAAAGGCAGCATATACCCACTGCCTCACGCTGTAAGGGGACTAATACAATGCTATTTACAGGGTAGCTGCTTGACAAGCCCGTGTTTGTTTCAGTCCTCCTATGATATAAAAGGAGGAAAGTACAACAAACACATTTTTTTAAAAAGATTTATTTATTTATTTTAGGGAGTGTTGGGGGGGAGAGGGAGAGAGAATCCTCAAGCAGTCTCCCTGCTGAGCATGGAGCTGGAATCGGGGCTCAAAACAGGACCCTAAGATCATGACCCAAGCTGAAATCAAGAGTTGGCCGCCTGACTGACTTGAGCCAGCCAGGCATCCCCAAACACATTTTCTACACCAAATGGCAACAGCGATTTGTTGTTTTGCTGGCTAACCAGCATCTATTCCCACAGAGGAAGTACTGGTCAAAGTTCTTCCTTTGCTTCTCCCACACCCCTACCCTGGTCCCCCTGTTCCTCTTCTGGGGGTGGGTACGAGACCCAAACGTGATCATCAGAATCACAGGGTCTGTCCAAGGATGGGTGGACAAACAGAAGTCAGCCCAGAACTTTTGCTGGAACTAGCAGAAGAAGGTTCTTTTCAGACTAAAGCTGCTAAGCATGAAGAATAGAAGCTAGAAGCTGCTACTTCATAGTAAGGGCCTGCCTGACAACAAACCCACACAGAGAGAAGCAGAGTCCAGAGGGAGACAGAGAACCCTTAGGGCATCGTTTGAACAGCAACACCTGCCTGCATCTGACTTCAGCCCAACAATGCTCCCGACTGCCCAGTGACATGAGCTAGGAATGAGCCAGGAGTGGGAGCTCCGTGAGAGCAGGTGTGACTGTTCCGTTCACAGCTACACCACGGCACTAAGAACAGTGGCTGGCTCATACCAGGCACAATACCTATTTGTTGGATAAATGAATAAATCGTCTTAATAGTATTTATTTATTCATTTACTTTCTTTTTAAAGTTTATTTAAGTAATCTCTACACTCAATGTGGGTCTTGAACTCAAGACCCCAAGATCAAGAATTGCACACTCCTCCAACTGAGCCAGCCAAACCACCCCTACTCATTTACTTTTTTATTTAAGACTACTTATGTTGGGCTTGTTGCTTGCAACCAGGTATCCTAATGAATACTTCAACAGTTCTTTAAGCTGTCCTTTCTTTGTAAAGATCTTTTAAAGATAACAGAACTTTCAATATCCATTAAACCACAGTACCTAAAAAAGATTTTTATTATGAGGACTATGCTCATTTTATTTAAGTCCTAAATTTTCTCTGATAATGAAACAATATAAAGTTCTTTCTAATGGCCATTTTAGGGTCATAAACAAACACATAGAAATAGAAAAAAAAAACAGACCAATTTAATTTCTGAGCTATTTTAGAAAAAAAATCCAGATTAGGAAAGTTACCTACCAGGAACATGTGTAACTATATTTCAGCATTTAAATACAAGAGTAAATAACAAAGGCAGGTTTCCAGAATTTCCTCTTGGCAACAATAGGTCCATCGCAAACAGTCACCTCCCATCAGGTGAGATGGATGGTTGTGACCTGAGGAAGACTTCACTTTCCTCATAGCAGGGATGTGCCATTCATGGTTTCCTAAGCTTATTATGGGCAAATTTCCTCATGTTTTAGATGTGAGATTGCTAGAGAATAATGAAGGGACTCCCAGTAACGTGAGGCAGAAATTCTAGGTTTCTCAGCTCGTGCACCCAGACCCTGGGGTGACCCTACACATTCCTAGGTCTAGTACCTACATTTACCCCTCTGTGGGCAATGGGAGGCATGGGGGCAGTAGCACAGCCTAAAAAGAACCCAAAGGGCTAGTTCTGAAACATATATTCATTTTTAAAGTTTTATTTTTCTGAGAAAATAAGAAAAACCAAATTAAAAAATTAACTTGCAGAATATTCAAAGGCTGTTTGTTACTTTTCTAAAACACCAAAGCTTGGAGCAACTGGCTGGCCGCATGTGACTCTTGATTTCAGGGTCATGAGTTCAAGCACCACGATGGGCATGGAGCCTACTTTAAAAAAAAAAAAAAAATTAAGAAGTTAAAAAGAAAATACCAAAGCTGGAAAGATGCTTCATGATGAATGAAAAGTAAAATGAAAGGTGAGTGACTCAGTCTAACACCCTCACCCACTCTCCTGCTCACTTGGTCCCAGTGTCTCAGATGCAGTTAGGAGAGCGGAGCCTAGCCAGTCTCTTCATCTGAGCCACACAGGAGAGCCTGCTGAGAGGCACGGATTCTGCCCGGTAGTGGCCTTACCCATTCTGTGTTCTTTTCATGACACTAGAAATGCACACTACACCAACAACAAGCTAACCATAGGACATGACATCATACTTACTTTAATCCAGGGATATCAAGAAGGTTGGTCAGTCCTGTCCAGTTAATTTCTATAAGCTGTTTTAAAAAAAGGGCAAAAATATTAAGTTTCCAAATTATTTCCAATTACCAAATTAAATCAAACAGGTTTTTTTATAAGCAAAATGCATTAGGTCATAATACTATCCTACACCTTGCTTTTCACTTAGTAAAAATATCAAAGTCATCGTCCTTTGTTGGTAAATGAAGAGCTATCTCTTTTTTTGTTTAGTTTTTGATAGTATCTGTTTCCTCTGGTAAAATCAAATAATTTATATACATTTCCTACTCATGGACACTTAGAATATTTATAATTTCTCTTTGATTCAGTGAATATCTTTTTATATACATGTTCTTGTAGCATATGCAAACCAGCATTCAAAAAGTGAAAGTTTTGGTCAAAGATAATATGTTTATTTTTTACAGATTTTTATTCTGGGGCGCCTGGGTAGCTCAGTCAGTTAAGTGTCTTACTTTGGCTCAGGTCGTGATCAGGTCCCATGTTTGGCTCCCTGCTCAGCAGGGAGTCTGCTTGTCCCTCTCCCTCTGCCCCTCCCTCCCCCTGCTCGTGCTTTTTTTTTTTAGATTTATTTATTCTTTGATAGAGATACAGAGAGAGAGAGCATGAGCAGTGGGAGAGGCAGAGGGAGAAGCAGACTCCCCACTGAGCAGGGAGCCCCACATAGGGCTCGATCCCAGAACCCTGGGATCATAACCTGAGCCGAAGACAGACGCCTAACCATCTGAGCCACCCAGGCACACCCCCCTCAAATAAATAAAAATCTTTAAAATAAAAAAAGATTTTTATTATGTTTTTTAAAGATTTTATTCATCTATTTGAGAGAGAATGCACACCTCTGCATGTGCGGGGGGAGGGGCAGAGGGAGAGGGAGAGAATGAATCTCAAGCAGACTCTGTGCTGATCCGAGAAGCCCAATGCGCCCAGAGCCCAGGGTGGGGCTCAATCCAATCCCACGACCCTGAGATCATGACCTGATCCAAAATCGAGTCAGATGTTTAACTGATTGAGCCACCCAGGCGCCCCTAAAGATTTTTATTTTTTTAAAGTAATCTCTACACCCAACATGGGGTTTAAAACAGTTCTGAGATCAAGAGTCACATGCTGCACCGAAAGAGCCAGCCAGGTGCCCCTTATATGTTTATTTTTTATGTTCACAGATGCTACCCAACTGCCTCCCAAAATAAGATCCTGTACTGATTTATATATATATTCCTACCCTAAATGTATAAAATGTCCTTTCTTTATACTCTCCCCAAAAACAGATATTAAAAATCAGTCCATTCGGTAGTTTAAAAATGGTACTTTATCCCTGCTTCAATTTACATTTTCCTGATATCAGTGGAACATGTTCTATCCACTCAGTCAACATTTGTATTCTATTTGCTCAATTTTCTAGTGGGTATTTGGGTATTTACTTAGAATAATTCCTACATAGTTGGCTAAGATAAGATTCCATTTAGTGGATGTAGACGGATAAAAAAAAAAGCTTGATTAGAAAAACTGCTTTCTTATCAGAGTGCATATTGCACATAATAAAATTACTTGTGCTTTATATTTGTAGAAGAAATGCTAACTGAAATTGCATGATCTCAATTACCCATATCGTTGCAGTAATAAAACTGCTCAAATCCCTTTGGGAAGTGTATAGTTATAAATAAACACAAGCTAGAAGAGTCAAGATTCTTTTGGATAGACCAAAACTGAAAAAAAAAATTTTTTTTTAAAGATTTTATTTATTTGAGAGAGAGAGAATGAGAGACAGAGAGCACGAGAGGGAAGAGGGTCAGAGGGAGAAGCAGACTCCCCACCGAGCAGGGAGCCCGATGTGGGACTCGATCCCGGGACTCCAGGATCATGACCTGAGCCGAAGGCAGCCGCCCAACCAACTGAGCCACCCAGGCGCCCTGAAAAAAATTTTTTTTAAGAAGTCCTGAAAGACTAAGATTTTTCAGAGTAAGAGAAATGAAATACAAATTTACTGCAAGTATCAGTACGAACTCCTACTGGTGCCCTCATGCCCGCCCTCCCCAAGAACAGGCACAGAAGCCGTCGCAGTCTGGGGCAACCAGCACCAGCCAGCACCCTGATCATGATCTCAAGATCCCCACATCTTCCACGGGACTGTGAAAACGCAGCTGATTCCAGGACTGGGGCAAGAAGTGTTAAGATGAGCCTGGGGCATCCTGTTGAATCAAAAAGCTTGGGAAACACTCAAAAATGAATGAGAGGTCCTGTGAAAGGTGGGTCCCCCAGAAGGGACTTTAACTAGAGATGATCAAGTATCAGGTGACAGAGGGCTTACGCTCATGACCCTCGTCAAAATGAGGAGATCCGTTTAAATGCTACCCAAGTTCAGAGAAACCAAACGCCAGGGAGGCAGGAACAGGATTTAGCTGGGTTTGAAAAGAGATATGAATGCAAGAAAGCAGCCCCCAGGGAAGGGACCCACTGGAGGCCCTGGAAAGAGGAGCTGGCCTGTCCTTGAGCAAGGGGAGGAAAAGGGACAAGAAGAGTCCAGAGCCACGGGGGGGTGAGAAAAGGGGGAGAGAACTGTGAGTGTGAGAGCATGCGTGAGGACGAGTGTGAGAAAATGAACATGTGAGTGTGAGCACACGTGAGAATGAGTGAGTGTACATGAGAACAAGTGTAAGTGTAAAAGCACATGTGAGAATGAGTGAGTGTGAGAGGTTTGGAAAGTGAGCATATAAACAGGGAAGCCACAGAGGGCTGGAAGCAAGGCAGTGCTTGGGCAAAGCAAATAAAATTAGTGTCCCTTGTCACCACCCCAACCACTGCACTGGGACCACGGAGATCTCTGGGAGAAACTGAAGAGACAGACATTTCTCAACCCCCTCTCTGGGCCGCTGCACCTCTCTTAGGAGAAATGGAATCAGTAGTGTGGTTATATTTTCACGGAACAACACAAATGAATCTGTGTATTTCATGAAAACCATTTCATGCCTTTCTCCTCTCTGCTTTTCCATGAACGCATGGTCTGATGGATGTAGTGAAATGTATAGTTCAACTGTTTATTTCAGCACTTACTCTATGTCAGATGTTCTAGGTGCATTAAGTTGTACAGTACAGACCATGAATCACATGGGAAGTCTGCTAAAAATACAGACCGGTGGCTCCCATCCTTCTCCAGAGTTTTTCAGTTAGTCACTTTTCACTGGTGGTAAAGGCCAAGAAACTCCTGGGACTTCCAGCTTCCACCTGGGATGTAGAAAACTGGAAAGCGCATCACAAATGCACAAGAAGAGCTGAGGTCACAGGGCCACCAGCCTGAAACCCTTCCTTAGAGGCAGCTCCAAGACTGGCTAAGGCCACCACAGGGCAACTGAGAGGTTCCAGCTGAATCCTAATTGCTAAAGGCCAGGTGCAGGTGAGACAGAGAAAGCCCTTTGAAATCCAGACACAGGGCATCTGCAACCCACTGGGTGGGCTGAGCATGGCCACAGAGACTGGGGAAAACACTTCTTGCAGGGGTGAGGTCAGGGAAGGAGCAGCTGCTGCTGGAAAGACCCAAACTCCACCTACAATGGTAAGGAAAAGAAGCCACTGGGAAAAGGGACACATAGGTGAAGGCTCATTGCAGATGGGGAGAGGAGAAGAAAATACCCTCTATATCTGGGGAGAGTAGGACACCATCCCAGGCCCTGATTGTTGGAGATCCTGAATTACTGGGGGCAGGTGTGCAGACTCACGCCTGCATTAAGACCCACCAAAGACACAAGTACAAGGAGATGGCAAGGTCACTTGAAAGGGCACTAGCCCTGAAACCCAGTACAGGCCAGAGCAGTGGGGAGCTCCCCTGTTCCAACTAGTGGGGGTGAGGCAAGACTATCCAAAATAATGAAAGATATCAAACCACTGATCCAGGAAATTCTGAGAACACCCGACAGGATAAATACTGCCAAAGCTCCCAGGTGACGTGATATGTGGCCTAAGTGTGGGACCCTCTCCAGTCTGGTAGACCTGCTGGACTTGTCTGCCCAGCCCTGCTTCTCCACCTCACTGCTGCCTTCTACACAGGGTTGTAGGAATTGGCTTTCGGGAGCCTGATCCACACACTGCAACCTTCCTCCTCCCAGCCGGTCCAGGGGTCTGTATCTGACACACCTGGAACAAGGAACGGAAGGCAGGAAGATGCACTGCCTCTTGAGTGCACTGGCAGCCCTGTTTCTGGCATGTGGACTAGAGGACCAGAGGAAGCTGGTCTCAGAGGGAAGAAAGAATTTAGCAAAGGCATATCAGGCATGGGTGACAGACAGTCACAAAGGCTTTAAATTCTGCATTCCAGTAGGTTTCATGAGAGAGCAATACATGCTATTTTCATTTAAGTAAAGCCTTTCCTTTTTCCCTTCCTTTGATTAAGGTACCTCAGTTGCTGGACTTGTAGGTAACAGGACTCAAGTTCTCATGGTCATTGTAAAAGGAAGATATTTCCATTTTTACAGATGGAGAAATGCATTCTGTGGTTCAAAGACTCTGCTAGCTGGAAGGACCCTCTTAGGATAAACACATTGTGGGTATGCCCCATGTCATCTCCTGAATAAGTTCTGGAAGAAACCTGCTGGATTTACTTGAGGCTAATCTGTGCTCTTGGAACAGGCCTAACAGAGAGCTGGGGATTCTGAAACACCCCTTCGAGTGTATGCGAGAGGCAGTTTCAACAATAGTCAGGTTAGCATGAGTGAGTGGTTGGTTCCCTGTGACGCGGCCAAGGGGAGACACTGGCTTGTTCTGGCCCTTACCAGAACCTTCACCCAAGTTTTTGTGTTTACCAAAACTTGACTTCTGGTGTTAAGACCCATCAGAAAGCTAAACCTATGTGTAGGAAAATACTTAATTTCTTAAAAATCTGAGGACTTACTATGAACCAGGCATCTACTGGTTTTTGTTTTGTTTTTAGATAGAGCGAGAGAGAGCATGAGCAGGGGGAGCGGCAGATGGAGAGGGAGAGGCAGACTCCCCGCTGAGCAGGGAGTCCGACGTGGGATTCGATCCTGGGACTCCAGGATCACGACCTGAGCCGAAGGCAGACGCCCAACCAACTGAGCCACCCAGGCGCCCCAGGCATCTACTGTTTTATACCTACTGACATTTAGTCTTGGGAGGCAGTAGTCCCCGTGTCACAGATGGGGAGACGCCCACTGACATGTAGTCCCCGTGTTACAGATGGGGAGACTTGGGCTTAGAAGGATTAAACAAACTTCAAGGCATACGGTCAGAAGAGAAAAACCAGGTGTGGAAGACCAGGCTGGAGAAACCCCAGTCTGTCACTTAACCATTACACATACTGCTTTCATTGTACTCTGAAAGTTTGTCACTTTAGAAATTCTTAGTTGTTTTTTTTTTTTAAACAAGTAGCACATTATCAAAACTAATTGAAACAAATCAACAAGAACAAAAATGTGCAGAGGTTTCAAAATAGTCTCTGGCACTATTCTTCTAAACCATCTGGATAGCCAAAAAGCCCCAAATCTTTGTAGCTGTATTTTTCCTTAGGGTGAGGAAGAATTACTTGGCAACCAGTAGTGAGTTCTGTTCTCATATTTTCCAGTCGAAAATAACTGAAAAAAAAAAAAAAATTCCCTTCTCTCCACAGCATATGTTTGGCGACTTTACTCACCATATAAGGAAATGAATGATTCTGAACTTTTCACAGCCTCATCCATTTCTGACACTAAGATTTTGTTTGAAAGTCACATTACAATGTTTTGGTTTTTTTTTAAAAGATTTTATTTACTTATTTGACAGACAGTGAGAGAGGGAACACAAGCGGGGGGAGTGGGAGAGGGAGAAGCAGGCTTCCCGCGGAGCAGGGAGCCCGATTCGGGGCTCGATCCCAGGGTCCTGGGATCATGACCTGAGCCGAAGGCAGACGCTTACCAACTCAGCCACCCAGGCGCCCCTGTTATTTTTAAAGTAAATATACCTATGGAAGATCTAACCTAAGAAAAAGTACTACTAAGTTTTGAGGGAGATTTAAAGATTTGGATTTCATTATTTTCTGAACTGAAAAAGGGTCTTTAGTTGTTAAAAATTCCCTGTAAATCAAAAATCCTTAGCTATCTACTAAAGATTATTTTTTTATACTCATTAATGAAGGAAGTTTCTTTTTTTTTTTAAGATTTTATTTATTTATTTGAGAGAGAGAGAATGAGAGATAGAGAGCACATGAGAGGGAAGAGGGTCAGAGGGAGAAGCAGACTCCCCGCTGAGCAGGGAGCCCGATGCGGGACTCGATCCCGGGACTCCAGGATCATGACCTGAGCCGAAGGCAGTCACTTAACCAACTGAGCCACCCAGGCGCCCATGAAGGAAGTTTCTTAAGCATATAATGGCTTTTATTTATTTATTTTTTAAAGATTTTATTTATTTATTTGAGAATGAGAGATAGAGAGCAGAGAGGGAGGAGCGTCAGAGGGAGAAGCAGACTCCCCACCGAGCAGGGAGCCCGATGTAGGACTCAATCCCGGGACTCCAGGATCATGACCTGAGCCGAAGGCAGTCGCTTAACCAACTGAGCCACCCAGGCGCCCCAAGCATATAATGGCTTTTAAACTGGTATGTGTGAAAAAAAGACATGAATTTTAAATCTTTTAGGGAGCTCTTCATTTCTCAAAATTTTAATAAATTAAATTTTAACAGACATTTCTTAATTCCTTTTTTTAAAAATATTTTATTTATTTATTAGAGAGAGAGAGAATGAGAGATAGAGAGCACGAGAGGGAAAAGGGTCAGAGGGAGAAGCAGACTCCGCGCCGAGCAGGGAGCCTGATGTGGGACTCGATCCCGGGACTCCAGGATCATGACCTGAGCCGAAGGCAGTCGCTTAACCAACTGAGCCACCCAGGTGCCCTCTTAATTCCTTTTTTAATTTTAGTGTTATGTAGTCAAAATACTTTCAAAATAAGCCTGTTATTTAAGCAATAAAAAGCAAATCAGAGTAGCACTTTTAGTGGTAAAAAAGTGAAGACACTTAATTCTTGCGTTTTTACACAGAAAAAAATGCCACTTGTTTGGTCTAAATAAACCCACATTTAAAAAAACACAACAATAATTTGTATTAAATTATTTAAATCAAATTATAAAAATTAATATTCTTATTTTAAATATAATGTTAATGGTACCTCCAGAAAGGACTCACAAAAGTTATAAAAATGGTATATCATGAAAAGATAACTGAGAAACAGGTCAATTTATCCACCAGACATTTACTGAACTGTATGGAGACAGATATGGCTGTGGCTTTCAAAGAGTAACAAGAAGTATGCCACAACATACAGGGCAGGAGGGCACCAGGGGAATGAGGGGAAAGCTGACTACCTGTGTCTTTGGAAGGGTTATACAAAGGCACAAAGACAGTGTTCTGGGGGTAGGAAGACAAAGGGAGGTGATGAGAGATGATGGGGGCTGGCACTATCCTTGGATTATGATTCCTCCCTGTGGCTGGAAATCGGGACGCTCCTGAGGGGCAGTGCCCGGAAATGAGGCTGGAGAGAGACCCCACCTAGACCGTGATGATTGTCTGCAAGGGAGAGATGCTCCCTAGTGGGTCTGTTTGCTCCGTGGGAAGATAGCCCTAGTGGTGAAGTGTATGGAGGACAGAGCCAAGGCAGAAAGCCAGTCAGAGGCTACAGGAGCCCACGTAAGGAGGGGCCTTGTAGGTAAGGAGCCACCCAGGTGAGGGGGAGGAGCCTTAGGAAGAGTCAAAGGGAGGGGGAGGGGCTAGGGTGAGGCGTCAGTCTAGGCGGGAATGACATTTTTGTTGTCTTATTTTTGAGCTAATAATGACTACTAAATAGTGACTACTTATAATAAAATGTGGAATACATATATATTCCATATATGTGTGTGTATATACACACTAACAATATGAAGTGATGATTAGTACAGTTTATCCCAGTGTTAGAAAAGAACTCAGTAGGGGTGTCTGGGTGCTCAGTCACATTTGTGAGTTCGAGCCCCGCACTGGGCTCCACACTTGGTGTGCAGCAGCATACTTAAAAATATATATATATAATATATAACATATATATATAATATATATATAATTCAATGAAAACCAAACCAAACCAAAAACCTTTATGATTCTTAAAAACCACGTAGTTCATGAAACACCACGACAGAAAGGCAATGCGTGTGAATGACGGCAGCCTTTGTTGGTGGGGGCTGCAAGGAGATTTATGGGTTAGAACGAGAACAGCAACTCTGTCAGCCTACGGTCCTAGACTTACTGGTTTTGTGACTTGGACAAATTAGACTCTCAGTTCCTGGTCAGTAAAAGGAAACTATGTTAGTATTCAACCATAAAGTTAATAAGGATTAGATGAGCAAATATCTGTAAATCACACTCAGTGATAGGCGCTGAATGTTAGTTACAACCTACACTTTTTAAAAAGTTTATGTTTTCAGGGTGCCTGGGTGGCTCAGATGGTTAAGCATCTGCCTTTGGCTCAGGTCATGATCTCAGGGTCCTGGGATCGAGTCCCGCCTCTGTCTCTTATGAATAAATAAATAAAATCTTAAAAAAAAAAAAGTACGTTTTCAAATTTTCTGTAACAAACATCATTTTTTGCAATCAGGAAAAAAGCTGTCTATTAAGAGATGAAGCCCTCCATTAAGAGCATAAAGAAGTATAAAAACATTCAAAGGATTGGGAGGCGGTAGGCTGCTTCAGGATGAAGCTGAACATCTCTTTCCCAGCTACTGGCTGCCAGAAACTCATTGAAGTGGACGATGAACGCAAATTTCGTACGTTTTATGAGAAGCCTATGGCCACAGAAGTTGCTGCTGATGCTCTGGGTGAAGAATGGAAGGGTTATGTGGTCCAAATCAGTGGTGGCAATGACAAACAAGGCTTCCCCATGAAGCAGGGTGTCTTGACCCATGGTCGTGTCCGCCTGCTGCTGAGTAAGGGGCATTCCTGCTATAGACCAAGGCGGACTGGAGAGAGAAAGCGCAAATCTGTTCGGGGTTGCATTGTGGATGCCAATCTCAGTGTTCTCAACTTGGTCATTGTAAAAAAAGGGGAGAAGGATATTCCTGGACTCACTGATACTACTGTGCCTCGTCGCCTGGGGCCCAAAAGAGCCAGCAGAATCCGCAAACTTTTCAATCTCTCTAAAGAAGATGATGTCCGCCAGTATGTTGTGAGAAAGCCCCTAAACAAAGAAGGGAAAAAACCTAGAACCAAAGCGCCTAAGATTCAGCGTCTTGTTACTCCACGAGTCCTCCAGCACAAACGGCGGCGTATTGCTTTGAAGAAGCAGCGCACTAAGAAAAATAAGGAAGAGGCTGCAGAATATGCTAAACTTTTGGCCAAGAGAATGAAGGAGGCCAAAGAAAAATGCCAGGAACAGATTGCCAAGAGACGGAGGCTGTCCTCTCTGAGAGCTTCTACCTGAGTCCATTCAAAAATGAGATTTTCTATGAGTGACAAATAAATACGATCAGACATCAAAAAAAAAAAAACATTCAAAGGATTCATGTATCAGAAAAGGGAAACGTGAGAGAAGGACAAACTATGTTTCTCTGCTTTACATATCCTTGTCAGTTAACGGGAAAAATGAAATTAATGTTTACTTACTGGTTTCCTAAGGAAGAAGATAGACAAGGCTCCCACGAGGGGCATGTCTCCAATCAACGGTTCCAGGATCACTCGCATTGTACCATGAATCTAAATTCAAATGGGAAACCAAAACATGTCACAGAAGACAATTTCACAGGCCATTTACTGATTCAAGAAGGAGGATACATGATCATCTTAGTGACTTCTGAGCATCTGACTTTATGTTTCTCTCAAGTATAATCTACAAATAGAAAACTTAACTTCTAAGAAATTCTGAGTTAATAAAAACTTCACTTTTCTTTTTGAATAGAGCATAGAGAATTTTAGAAGACTATGAAACTTTAAAAACCTTACCTGTATACTTTGCACACCGGCTCTACAAAAATATCGCTTGATCTCCAAATCAATCTCACAGTTTCCTACAAAACTAGCAAAGGAAACGTTCTGTATTACTGTCTCTTAATCACCACAGACCTGCAAGGTATATAATCTGAGTAAAATGACAGCAAAACAACCAAAACCAGCCTGTAGGCAAAACTGTAATGTGAGGCCCATTTCCGGGTATTTTACTACCCAGAATCACAGATGTCCCTGCTAGCAGATTCGACATTGCCACACTGATTACACGTGTCACTTCTCAAAGTGCAACTTCTGGATCAGTCTCTTGATGGAATGTAGTTTTCATTTGTTTTATAAACAACTGTGCTTGTTTAAAACATAAAAAAAAGCTTAGACTATATTTCACCAGAAGTAAATTTTGCGCCCATGCTCCCTGGTTGTGAGAAGACTAACAGCAGTGCTCCAGGGCTCTGTGACATCAAAGGTTAGAAACGATGCGTCTTTTTGAGGCACCAATTTTACTCAGTGATTAAGTCATTTCAATCATTAATACAAAACAAAACAAACGAAACAAGAATATGGTACGATGCTGAATGTCAGGCTTGCATCTATTCTTAATACGAACAAGAAACATCATCTATGTTTTTGTGTGGGATCTCCGTGATTTGACTCCCACCCTCAAAAGCAGCACATCATGCTCCTGCCTGAGGACATCTGGGGGCAGTGTGACAGGTGCTGGAAAGATTGTCTAAGCACACAAGTACAATACTAAAGAAAGGCATCTGGGATGAATTCTTCCACTATTTATGTCCTGGTGTTAAAGCACCTATAGATTCTTCTTACTGAGCAGGACTCTGGATCTAGCTGGTAAAACCACCTCAAAACTTTCCTCTTCTTCACCCTAAGACCTGATCATTTTATTTCCTAATATCTGCCAATTACTCCTTCCCCATCTCTACCGCCAATAACCTAATTAAAGTCCCAGTCAAGAACACACAAAAAACTGGAATATTTTTTTGAGACATAAATATCTGAGCAGCATAATCTGCATATGTTGTTATGACTGTTAAAATCATGAAAGCCAGACCGCGTCTTCACAATGGCATCCATTAACTGATTCATTCGAATGTTTACTAAATGTGTAAGAAATCCTCCCTTGGTGCTGGAATAAGAGAATACAGTTTCCATCCTCCTGAAGCTCATTATCAGACTAGTGGACAGTCCCAGGTTACAGATGAGCTGAAGACACAGTAGGGCTTCCTTTTATCCCATTGATAGCACAGTGTTCACAGTAGTGCCTGGTATTTTAAAGATGCAGATTTTTCCATCAGATCATTAGAGGCAGTCAATGCTCCTTTTTAAAGTAAAGGTAATTGGTACCAACTCTGTACATTTACTACATTTATACACTTCAGAAACTCAAAGACAACATTATAAAAGGATCCTTAGTCAAGGCTCAAAATAAGAAACGAAACTATGAACCGAGTCTGTCAGTGGACACACTTCAGTGGTTGGTCGCCCCTTACACAGCTGTGTTATTAGGCCTCACAGGGAGGCAGGAAGCCAAGAGTAAGTTCACAAAGAATGAGGACAAGAACTAAACAAAACCACCTTTATCTGCCAGGTGTGGTACCTGGCAGACTGTCAATTAATCTTTCTCAATTATTTTTTATTGTGATACGATATACAGAATGTAAAGTGGACCATCTGCATCATTTATAAGTGTGTAGTTCAGTGGCATCGAGCACATTCACCATGTTGTGTGACCATCACCACCATCAACTCCAGGACTCGTCCATCTTATAAAACTGAAGCTCTGTCCCCATGAAAACACTTCCCATTTCCCCTCCCTCAGACCCTGGTGGCCACCATTCCAATTTCTTTCTCTGTAAGTCTGACCACTCTAAGTACCTCATGTAAGTGGAATCATACAGTATTTGTCTTTTTGTGACAGGCTTACCTCACTCAGCATAATATCCTTATGGTTCATCCATGTTGCAGCATGTGTCAGAATTTCCTTTTTTTTTTTTTAGCTTTAGAATGGTATTAGATAATCAGCTATTTCCCAAAGTCACCTTTTTTTTTTTAAGTTTTTATTTTAATCACCTGGTGCTCACCATGACGAATTTCCTTTTTTTTTAAAGGTGACTAAAATTCCACTGCATGTACAGACCACATTTTCCTTACCCATTCATCTGTCGATGAACACTCGGGTTGCTTCCACATTTCAGCTACTGTGAACTGCTATGAATGTAGGTGTACAGATATCTCTGAAACCTTATTTTCAGTTCTTTTGGGTATGGACCCAGGAGTGGAATTGCTGGGTCTTACAGTAATTCTGTTTAACTTTTTGAGGAACAACTATTTTGTTTCAACAGCAACTGCACCGTTTTACATTCCCATCAACAGTGCACAAGGCGCCCAGTTTCTGCACGTCCATGCCAACACTCACTGCTTTCTGTTGTTTGATAGCAGCCGTCCTAACGGGTATGGGGTTGTAGCTCACTGTTTTGATTTGCATCTCCCTGAATATCAATGAGGAGAGCATCTTCTCATGTGCTTGCTGTATATTTGTACATCTTCTTTGGAGAAATTATTCAAGACCTTTTGTCCATTTCTGAATCGGGTTGTGTGTTGTTGTTTAGTTTTAGGAGTTCTATATACCTTCAGATATTAAACGCTCATTTGACATGTGATTACATGGACTGCACTGATTCTATGGAATTGCTTTTAGTGTTGACATTTAATATTAAGTCTTCCAAACGAAGAACATGGGATGCCTTCCATACCTTCTTGGCTAATTCCTAAGAGTTTTATTCTTTCTGATTCTAAACAAGATTGTTTCTTGATTTCATTTTTGGACTGTGCATTGTTAGGTACAGAACGTAACTGATTTTGTGTGTGCTGACTTTATATTCTGCTACTTTGCTGAACTTATTAGTTCTACAAAGTTTTTTTGTGGAATCCCTAGGGTTTTTTAAAAAAATTTTTATTGTTATGTTAATCACCATACATTACATCATTAGTTTTGGATGTAGTGTTCCATGATTCATTGTTTGTGCATAACACCCAGTGCTCCACGTCCTTAGGGTTTTCTACATATAAGATCGTATCACACGTGAACAGAGACAATTTTACTTCCTCCTTTCTAACCTGGATGCCTTTTCTTTTTATTTCTACCTGGTGGCTCTTGCTAGGACTTCCAGTGTCATGTTAAATGGAAGTGGTCAAAGTGGACATGCCTGCTCCTAATCTTGGAAGAAAAGCTTAGTCTCGCACCACTGAGTATGATGTTTGCTGGGGGTTTCTCACATATGCCTTTTTAAAAAAATTAATTTAAGTAATCACTACACCCAATGTAGGGCTTGAACTCATGACCCTGAGATCAAGAGTGGCACACTCCTCCGACTGAGCCAGCCAGGTGCCCCTCAGATATGCCTTTTATTATGCTGAAGTAGTTTTCTTCTGTTCCCGGTTTGTTGAGTATTTTTATCATGGAAGAATAATTAATTTTGTCAAATGCTTTTTCTACATCAACTGAAATGATCATGTGGTTTTTTTCTCCTTCCGTTATGTTAATGCGGTACTTGATTCATTTGTGTATGTTGAAGGATCCTTGCATCCTGGGAATAAATCCCACTTGGTCATGGTGTATTCTTTTAATATGTTGCTGAATTCAGTTTGCTAGTATTTTGATGAGGATTTTGCCATCAGTGTTCCTAATGGATATGGGTCTGTAGTTTTCTTGTAGGGTCTTTAATTTTTTTAATTTAACATGCTTATGATTGGCAATTTTCTAGGCTATCAGGAATTAAGACACAGAAAATAAATGTGGGTCTTCAACAATTTAGTCAAATTCCACCAGATATCAGGTAAGAAGCATGCTCATTATATCTTCCACTTTATGGGTACAGCTAAATGACATTATAAGTCATTAACTATGAAATAAATATAACACAAATAAAAACTTACCTAATCTGAAGGTCCAAAATAATTTGCCTTTTGTCCACATTTTCAGTGTACACCTTAACACCATTGATCCTGAGGGGCTGAAACAAGAGGCAGCTTATTTTAAAACGCTTATTTAAAAAATAAACCCAAACCTTACAATGCGGCATAGAGATGAGAACAAGCTTAGCACTAAGCTATAGGAACTAAACTTCTGCTTTCAGAGTGCACTAGCTGTTTCACTTTGGGGAAGGCAGTAGGCCTCCATTCTCCAGTGTCCTCATCTGTGAAGTGTGGATAATAAATGGCGTCTATCTAACGAGGTTACTGTGAAATCAAAGGACACGAGGAACGTGTCTGGTGCGCAGTGAGTGCTTACAGGTCAAACCCCGTGGCCCTTTGTTTCTTCCAATTTACTTTGACCCTTTCCCTCTAACTCTGTCCTTGCATGGTTTGACACATAACTTCCTTTCTTTTTTTTATGTCTTTTTTCACTTCTTAAAATTTTCACAAAAATGGGGCTTTTGAGTGAATCAAAAATACTGGCTACAGGTATAATTTTAATCTAATCTTAACTTAATCTGAGACACATTAGATAGAAACATGATTGTAAAAAGAAAAGGCAGATTATAATAAATGTCGTGTTTCAAGGATCCAGCTGTAACACCATTTCAAAACCTCCCATTTTACCACTTGGAGATTGCTTCTAGGAAAGTTCTCAACCTCACATTTGAGCATTAAACGCCCAAACTGAAGAAATCCCTTACCTTTGGAGAACTACGGCTTTACTGTGACAGTTTAGGCGCCCTAACATCTTACCCTTCAACTAGCTGCAGGGTTAAACTCTAAGTCTTTGGGGGGGGGGGGGGGGGGCCTGGATGGCTTCATTGGTAACCGTCTGCCTTCAGCTAAGGTCATGTTCCCTGCTCAACAGGGAGCCTGCTTCTCCCTCTGCCTGCCGCTCCCCCTGCTTGTGCTCTCTCTTACAAATAAATAAATAAAATCTTAAAAACAAAACAAAACTTTAAGTCTTTGAGCATCTACATTTCCTACTATCCTAGGTTCCTGGCCTTTTCCTTGATGATACTGGCTCAGACATGCACAGACTATGAATCACAGAGAACACAGTTCAAATCACTATGTTGATGAGTGAAAATGGGATATAGGTGGCTTAGGACCTTTAGTTTAAATGTCTGCATTAGATAATATTCCTTTCCTCCACTTAACATGACATCTGAGGTTAGGAGAGGCAGGGAGGCCAACTCCACTCCAGATGACTCAGCATTATCCAACACAGGACAAACACCTGAAGGCAACAGAACTCAGCTGACTGAGGGACTTAGCCAGCACATCGGGTGTGCACAAAGAACCCTGCTCGGGGCTCTGCATGTCCTTCTGGCCTGTTCCTTCCTCAGATAGCCCAAGTTCGCCTGTACTTGTAAGATACCAGTGCAGTTGATAACGATGTCAAGTTGCCTTTACTGCGTCAGCACTACTCTTAACATTCTTCCTGTTCTCCAAGGATAATCTTAATATCAAACTTAAAGAGCGTGTAATATGAAGTGAACATAATTCTCCCTAAAACAAATCCAGCTGGGGTTAGAATTCTAAATTTCCACAAACACAAGCATATCATCTTACATTAGGGGACTGCAAACCCATGGCCTGCAGGTTAAAATTTAGCCTTCGGCTAAGAAATGTTTTTACATTTTTCAAATGATTATAAAAGAAATGGGGGGGTGGAGAAGAATATGCCTCAAAGACTTTATGGGCTGTCAAAGCCTAAAATATGTAGTACCTGGCTTTTTACAGAAAAAGTGTACAACATCTGCTTCATACTCACATAGCGTTCAACCCTGTATTTGTGTTTTCCTATCTGCTGTTATCATTTTAGGTCAGAGAAGGTAAAATATATATGAAAGGTTAAGTGTTACACAGGCATTTTGTGCAGGCATTTATGTGCTTGAACAACGGGATGATCAGACCCCAGACTTGTAACATATCTGGAGACCTCACAGCCAAGAGGAAAAACGACTAAGTACAACACATGTGCCTGCAGTGGAGATCCCAGATTTTGAGTAACTGTAGATAAGATGGAGCATTCTGGGAGTATAGGATGGGAATAAGCCTGGGGGCGCAGACAAACACAACACAGCGACCAGGTCAGACACTCCTTGGCCACATTATTAAAACCCTGATGGTCTAGGGGCGCCTGGGTGGCTCAGTCGTTAAGCGTCTGCCTTCGGCTCAGGTCATGATCCCAGAGTCCTGGGATCGAGCCCCGCATTGGGCTCCCTGCTCTGCGGGAAGCCTGCTTCTCCCTCTCCCACCTCCCCTGCTTGTGTTCCCTCTCTTGCTATATCTCTGTCTGTCAATAAATAAATAAAATCTTTAAAAAAAATAAAAATAAAAATAAAACCCTGATGGTCTGAAGCAAAGACATGGGAACTGCAGCATATGGTGACAGTGTGTTGTTTGGCTCTCCTGCGCGTGCACTAAATGTGTGTCAACTGTGTGGGTATATTTAAAGTACTACTGAATTCTCAATTTTCATTAGGCAAACAAAACAATGTTACCTTGGAAAGCAATACAATGTTATATGTCAATTATACCTCAATTAAAAAAAATGTTAACCTGAACTGTCGCTAATCACTGTAAACACTGACTTAAAAAAATAAAAAAAGAAACTAGCCATGATCAACTGATTTAGATGTTGTCTTGGGGCTTTCACTAGAAGGAATATTAGGAATTAGCAGTTTTTCTTTGTATCTGATTCTAACAACAAAATCTATCTTTCCCTTCATCTACATAATTAATGCGATTCTACAAGTCTGGCACTGGAGTCCTTAATTACCATTTTTAAACATCTTGCGGGGTAAACACCTTTAAGTTTGTTGTCAATTATGAAACTTTTAGTATGAATTCATGTATCAAACTCCAACTAGACAGACTGTGAAAAACTGTACAAAGGTAATTCTGACAGAAGGATGTGGGGTAGAAAGACATGATGGGAACGAGAGAAACCACCCAAGGAAACTGAACAGGCCAAAGACCACAGGGGAAAAATGAGTGCAATGTGAGGACCTCCCGACAGACAAAGGGAGGGCGTCCCACATGAAGCGGAACTGGAATGAGCTGCAGAGACAGCCTGCTAGACCTTCCCCAGGAGCAATTTCTTCTCTATAAAGTAGTTTGAAGTAGTTTTATATATTTTTTAAAGTGTTCACACCAATTCTACCATGTGCACAAGTAAGGATACTTAAGAAGAAACTGACCTGCTGACCCACGTCAACTTTTGTGAAACTGAAAGTGCTAAGGTGGGTGTTTGCTCCCCGCACAGCTGGCTCTATAGTTTCTCGAAACAACTTCTCTATAAACTGGCAAATAAAAGGCCACATATGTTTTACAGTCTGTAAAGAAGAAAGAACTCATGTCAAACAAAATGCTGTAATATGTAATAATGTATTATGTACTAACACATAATGATGTACTTATATCATCATGAAAAATTACACCTCTATGGTTTAGCAGAATTTTTGAAAATTAAAAGGAGGGGGTCTCCTTTTCATTATGCAAAATCAACATGATCTGAATTTCAAAAATGTACTACAACAATACACTACAGATTAACTAATATGTTCCAGAAATTAGTTATTCTGGTTAAGCATTCCATTTAAGCATATCAGCACATTTAAAGTTGCTTAGGGGGGAAAAAAAATCTGAAAACCCTGTGGTTTCAGCTCGTTTCTAAAAACCTAAAACTGTATAGATCTTAATAAACATTAATGAGTTTTCTTTAATGATGGACTAACTTCTGGTGCTGTCAGGAAATCATTAATCTACATTAGTTTTTACTCTATAGCTCTAAGGATATACAAAATGTGGGGACAAACATCTACTTCAAAATATATGATCTTAAAAAATAACCTTTAAAAATGATTATTAATCTATTACTAGGTTTCTTGGGAATTACTTCCCTTTTCATAATATTTTCAAAAATTCTGCTTGTAATTACTATAAAATAGACTTGAGCACTAGCCAATCAGGGAAGTAGACACAAGGCCAAATACACAACTATGACTATATCATCAATTTTTTCATGTTAAAGACACAATTTTCACTACTTAGGAAAGTACCGTTTATCAGTTATGACTCAGTTTTTTTGAGAGCAGGAGCCAGTCCACTACATCCAAAGGAGTTCACATACTGTCAACATCCAACTTCCCAAAAATGGAAAGATGGCACCTCATCCCCTAACTCCCGCTGATACTCTGGTATTTAGTATATTCTACTCTTACCTTATTTAGCCATTCTGCTCTTTCGGTGTCTGGAAAATGAACCTACGAGAAAAACATACACATGACTTATGGACTCCCAGCAACTGTACATGAAAATGTCGCGCAGGCTGTTTAATCTTATCGTATGCCCATTGTTTCCCTAACGCTTCTCGACGATGCCGGGCTCTGAAGCTTTGCACAAGGGCTTCTGAGGAGAAACTGAAATGTGTGGTGCTCTGCTCTTTACGTCCCAACAACACTTTGAGGCAGAAAAGTCTAGTGACAACCAATGCCACAGTCCCTTCTTTGTATCTCTCAGGTCCAAAGGAAAGCTCCCTGGCATCTGGAATATTGGGAAGAGTATTCCACTGTGAGCTCTTCCTTTTTAAGAGCCATGCTTCTCCACTCCATGGCCAGCACTGCCATCAGTACTCCAGACACCTAGACTCACAGCCTTCAAGAACCCACCTTTCCCTCTGACTTTCCTCTTTTGGTCCAAACCAGCTGGCAGATGCTTTTCCATATCTGGCTTCTCTCACACCATCTCCCAAATGAATATTATAATTATAGTCCTCCATGAGTAGGGCCTGTACACTGGAGAAAATGCGTGTTTGCAGAGACAGAAACAAACCTATTTAGAGAAAAGGTGGAAACCCATTTTCTTTGCTGTTAAAATAAAAACCCCTTGCAGAGGAAGGCTAAAGCTGTTTTGGGTAGGGAGTTCTCCTTTGAGAAGTGCTACGTACTCCCTCAAAGAAAGAACAGCATGCAGGCCATACTAATGTTCCAAAAAGCGTATTCTTGGTTTAGATGTACAATGGGTCACAGGCCGTTTTGTGAGGGTGACTGAGATGTGGTCAGGGAAATGTTCTGATTTCCGGAACCGCCACACTCACTTTCCTACATAACACGGGCACAGCAGCCTACCCCACACTGCGGCTGAGAGGAACTGGCCAGGGACTACTATGGTGGCGGGGGGTGGGGGAGTTCCCCAGAAGACGGTTCTCTCAAGCTTGGCCTTGGGAGGAGCCACGGTCACTGCACCCTCTCAGAGCCACACCGCTCCATGAGAGGCCACAGCCGTTTCCTCCTGCTCCTGTGTCCACGTGCCAGAGCCGCCCGCTCCTTCACACCCCAGGTTCAACATGCCTGAGCCATAAGGGGGACCCAGAGGGAACTGAAATAAGGTCTTCTAAGTTAGTCAGCTTGAATCCATTCTGGGACAAAAGCAAAGGGACGGCAACCTTCCAGAATTAAGGAAAAGGCTTAAGAGCTGGGAAGGATAATGCTAAAGAAGGCAAAGATTTGGGGAAGAGAACTACTGGCAAAGACTGCTTAAATCCAGAGGACATGTCGCTGTAGAGTAGCCTATTTGACCCAAGTGGAACTGTACTTTCTGCCAAAACCCCAAGACATTTGGGGGCTTGCTAGACTGGCTGGACTAGGGTACAAAATGAGGCAGGTGCAACTCCCCTGCAGGTTGTATTCTGCTATTTCTTCACATTATAGTAAAGTAGCCAGTACTCTACGTCAGATCAGGAATGCATCAGGTGGTTGCTACTCCAGGGTACCAGGCCTTAATAAGCAGGTGTTCAGCTGTGGTCCCCGGAAGCAATTTATAGTGAGATTGTCTTCCGTTCTGCCCCTGCCCCTCTGAATCCAACTAGCCACCAATGGCCACAGAAAGGACCAAAAGCACAAGTAGAGCACCTATTTGGGGACGGCCAGAACTCCTTCACTGTAGATGTGTTTCTCCTGGAATTTCAGAGCAAACAAGAGAATCGACAACTCTCTCTGCAGGCCTGCCTTTTCTGGTGATGCTATGCCTGCCACCCTGGGAGGCCTTGCTCCGCTTCCCAGGCACACCAAGTCTAGCTCTAGAAGCTGCATTTCAGTTACCTCACTCAGTGCCATACATTCCTACATGTTTATCAAATGGGAGACCAAAGACCTGCCTCAAATCATATTTTCTCTGACTCACCACCCCCAAATCTTGTCTTTATCACAGTCCTGTGGAATTCAACCAAGCAATAATGGCTCCTTTGCACAGAAATATATTCTTCTCTATTTACTGGTTACCTTTTTCTTAACTTCCCCTCTCTGCCAGTTCTTCCTTACAATCAGCTCACCTCCGTTCTAGACAGCTTCCCAAACATGCCACCATTCACAATCACTCCTCAGCCCCACAGCAGTCACACTCAGGTTCTCTCCAGAAATCTGCATTTGTCACCTATCACTCTGTTAAGGCTCCTTAGCTGCTCTGTGTACCCAACACCTCCCTCTCGCCCAGTGCACTACATACTTGTACAAAGGAAGAAACGGTCTCTGAAGAGATGCTACTCAGAGTTGACAGAACGCTCAACACTCAACCTAATAACATTACTCCTGAGTCTTTGTGTGGAGTTTGCTTTTTCAGAGACATCTATACTTCTGTTTAGAATATTACTGAAATTACTGTTAATTCTTCGGGCTCTACTTTAATGTAAAAATGTTATGCGAAGTGTAAAACCTCAATATGGTATTGGACTTAGATTAAAATTCTGTATCATTCCACACTGAATAAAAATAACTATCCACATCAAGATAATCCTTAGGACCGTGTGGGCTTACAGATGACAGCAAGAATGCATGATGTTAGGATGTCAGTAGAGGGGCCCACACAGGTGGTCTGTGGCTTCAATTCTAGAAATCTTAAACTGCTGCTCTGCTTCAAAAAGAAATATTCCCAATGTCAAGTGTCCTTTAATAAAATTACAGCAAGATGAGTTTAACCTGTTTTCAGATTTTTTTCTTTGCTCCCAAAGGGTATGTTCATTTATACCTTATACCCAGTGAAGAACTGAAACACCATCTGTGAAAACAAGGACTTTACCTGTTGTGATTTTAGTCTGTATTGCCACATATCATCACTCAAGGCAGACATCAGGATGCCCACCCTACTGAGAACACAGTAGGCTCTTGGGGGGCTGGTACCAGTACCTCTACAGATGGGTATCCCACATTCCTCAGTAACCAGGAGAAGATAGGACAGACTGAGGTCTTGCCAGACACACCTGGGCCAGATGGGCTGCATCTTTTTCCAGTGAGCAGGGGTGAGTGGTCAGTTCCTTTTCACTAACTGGTAGAGAGTCATCTATTAATCCTACATACTTCAGAGAAATTGTTTCTCTGTAGTTCATGTGCAAATGGTTTTCCTTCTAATACTGAGGGGTAAAATGTGTCTATAGTAGTTTTCATTTTTTTTTTTTTTTAAGATTCCTCAGTTTCTTTGAAGAACTGAATTCTTGCTAAGTTCTAAACGCCCATAACCAGGTAACCTAAGTATAATGCCTCACACAGAGAAAGCTTTGACTAATCTAGATTTTCCACCCACTTCAAATTTAAGGAAGGCTCAAAGATTAGGGTCCTGTCTGGAAGTTGATATGCACAAAGTTGTGTGTATACAAATTTACTTAGAGACAAATCATCAGATTTTCACAGAGTCCACGAAGCCAAGAAGGTTAAGATCATATAATGAGGTGATCAATAAAGCTGAGCTCCCTTCAAAACCTTTCATATAAAAGGTTCAGAGGAGCAGAAGGTGAGGGAAGACCCCATCCTTGGATGGCTGAGGAATAGAAAACAAATCTCCCTCCAACTGGGTTGCTGGAAGATTAGTGAGTCTTCAAACCCAAGTATACTTGGTTGACATAATAAAAGTAACTGGTAACTGCCAGGCAGCATTATGCGCTGCTTTGAGTGTGGCAGGTTCTGTGATAAGCTATCAACATACATTAATTGAACTAATTCTTTTTTCTTTTTGTGGATAAAAGACCTTGAATTTTAATAAGGTAGACAACCAGCTTGCACAACCCAGGACACCAATCCACGCCCTCTGTCCCCAGGCATTTGGTGCAGATGCGCATGTATGTCAACACAACTTTGTAAATCATATTTCTTCTTCCTTCTCATCCATCAGCCTTCAAAATAGGAAAAGAATTATTTCAATGAGGCCATGAAACTTTCCGTCTCCCAAGTCACACATAATGGACCCCATGTTAATTGTCTCTCCCGCACTGCACCTGAACTATTTCAAACTATCCACCCAGTCGAGCAAACCAGAAATCCTCAGAGTCACCATTACTACTGCCTCTCCTTCACTCCACAACCCTGGTCAGCTCTTCCTTCTAAATCTCCATCTGAACTAATTCTTAACAACAAATCTACAAATAGGAACCATTAACATCCCCAATTTACAGGATAGCTACTAAGTGACAGAATGGGGATGAAAAATCAGATTTGTCTGTTGACCCCTTTATTACTGAGGGACGAAAAAAGTGCTGTGGAGACAGTCAATCCACAGAGTCCATCAAGTTCTCGTAGGACAGACTCCCATGAAAGAGTGAAGCTCAGAACTCAGGATATATGCCTTCAATTATATGAAGTACCAAGTCAGAAGTAGAAGATTTTGTGTTTAATAGTCATCTATTTATCTAGACTCTAGAGGTCAAATATAGTACAAGTCCTGAAATAGCTAAGAGCAAAGTTCAGCAGGCATGATAGCAATTCACAATAAAACACAATTACCAGACCCAGTATTTCACCCAAGACTAAGAAGAGAGCAATCTAAAGACTGGTTTTACTTAATAGTTGCATGAAAGGGCTATGATATTTTAGTAATGATAAAATTCCATGTATATTCACCCTGTGACCCAGCAATCCCATTTCTAAGCAACTGATTAAATATGATAAAATGACTTCTGCAAAAATTGTTCCAAAATGAAAACATGTGCCTTCTCTAAAAATATTTGGTTTCTCTAAGTTTACTGGTATTTTTCAAATTAGGTCTGCCAGTATGCTAGCAAATTCCTATTCATTCTGTCATACTTGAAGAGAGTAACCCTATAAAGCTATTGTTTCTTTCCTGCAAAATACATTCCAGTCCCACAAATTGCCTACAGAATTTAAATTTATGTAATAATAAGGCTTCTCTACTCACAATCATGCACCAGAACAGAAATACAGTTTGACCGGTGTGAATTCTGATTTTGTTATTGCATTTCTGTCACTGCGCTATTCCTTAA